TAGGAGACTAGAAATAATACCCGTTCAATCGTCATGACATGCGATGGGCCGAGCCGAGCTGACGTGTGATGTGTCCGCGCCGCGCGCGTTAGTGTTGGTAGCTCAAGTCGACGCGTGTCGGAAACTCGAAAGACCACTTCCGAAGCTTGGCAAAGCACGATTCGTTATTCCGCTCCGTCATAAACGGGCTGACTCGGTAGCTCGACACGAACTTGTGTCGAAAACGCGCCGTCTACGCGCCAGTTGCCTCTGCAGTCAGTATCCACAGCCTTCATCTGATGCATCTCTCGAGAACGATTGCTCTTTTGAAACTCGCGAAGCCGGTGGAGCCACTGACATTCGATATCACTGCCGACATTGCGCGTTTGGGATGGAAGTCACACCACCCGCCTGTTGCTGACACTCTCAGTGAATGCGGTCGCGATGCGACTTCTTCAACTACCTAGTACCCTCTTGCGCAATGGCTGCCTATCCAATACAGTAGCAACGTGTATGCCGCCAGCTGCCGTATAGCCGAGCGCGATCGTTTGTCTCTCGACAAGCGACGACCATCACCCACAGTGCAAGCGAGCGCCCCTGCATGTCGCTCCGTGGACAACATAAGCTGGTAGTTCGCAGCGTAGGTAAGGGGCGGTCTAGATGCCTAGGCGTCCAGTATGTATTTGAACGGTGAGGAGCGCACATGGTCGGTCCAAGATTCCAAGGTTGGCTCCAGTCTACATGATCCTGAATTCGTAGATGTTCACGCCCCGCCTACATACTCGCATCCCACGCGCCCCACACGTGGGGAGAAGCGTAGCATACTGCTTTACCTCACCTACGTGTCGCCAGCACGAAGCGCCCTCCGTTCGGCATTACCACCTCTTTAGAGTACGGATTGAACGTGTTCGTGGCATCATTCATCGTGCTTCCGTTCAAAAAGTCTCAACGCTGAGCGTGACTTTGCTGCAGAGTAGATGAGCCATTTTCGCACAGACTACCCAACTTCGGCAACGCTATATCTCTCGACAAGTCTGACCCCATAGACCCTAAGACCAATCACGGCCGAGTTTCAGGGGATGCCTGGCCTTCAACCATGCTGAACCTTCCATTGCGTTACGTGGAACTGCGTGAAGTGGTTGGCGATGGTTTCCTTGGACATTAGTTCCGAGAAGCTCGCAGACACGCCTCAAGAAAACGAAAGCACCTCGCTAGCGGATATCGGTGCGCGTTGCTCCGTTCAGCAATTCTGGTAGTGCCATTTGAAAATCGGCAAGTGACATTGACAACGCCCGTAAGGTTCACGGGTGGAGCGGATACGCGTGAAGCCTTTGCCAAGCATCGTGCTTTCTGAATAAGCTTTCATGCACTTGCTTATTGGGTTGTAGTTTGCCATGGCATATGTACAACATGGCACATGCTCTACTATACGGGACGTTCTATCCGCCATGTTCTGTCGTCTTCTTCGCAACAATCATTCCGCACCTGTTAACCTATTCTGTCTGGCGGTTCCTATTCCGACGGCGCTTCCAAACTTCTCACTGTCATCTAGCGCTCGGAGACACCGCTTTTTGATGGCTGTCGCCTTCGCTTCCACCGCGCACACTGCACTTTCAGCCCTGTAGCCAGACTTCAGTGGGTGACATGTGAAAGGGCAAGAGCGACACGCGGCACTCGCCCCTCGTCGCACAGTCGGCAGCATTGATCTGCACTGATCCGGATATCACCATGTATCTTCAACCTACCATAAATCCAAGTCCATCGGAGAGGCTGGCGTATGACGTGTTGTGCGGCATTTTAGTCAAAGACGGGCGGTTTCGAGAAGAGTGACATTTACACAGCCCCGTTCTTGGCAGGTCGAAATCCAGACGGTGGTCGCCGCTAACTACACGGCCAGCGGACCTCAAAATGCTCGCGCACTCTCTTTGACCCACGAAATTCCATCTTTAAGGGTCTCGCATCCCTCGAGTCTCAATGGTTCAGGATGTCTTCTCGCTGCACAACATCGTCGGCCGCGACGAGACGGCATTTCCGTTTTCCCTCAAGGACTACCAGAAATATGTATTTGGCGACGACCGACTAGCGCATCGCTTGGGCACGGACCTAGCTCGAGCCTTCATTCCCACCATCTCGAACCCTACAGACGACTTCGCAGTTGCCGTGCTATCCGAAAAAGTCCCCACGGCCACGCATAGTCTGCGCAACCACTTTGTGGCTTACCTCAACCGGCATCTGATAGCGAATAACGCAACCCCGGCCCTCAAAATCGACTTTCACGATGCGGGGGTGAACGCACATGCGCGGAACGGTCCGGATTGCAAGAAAAAGAGCTCATATCACATCGATGTGGAACGCCTGGGGAGCAGGACTCTGATCGTACTGGCTGAAATCCGAACGAGCCAAGACCGCGAAGACCGGATACGATCATCGTTCGGGGAGCGCGGCATCACGACTGTCTTCGCCTATCTTGCATCCCTGAGCGGCTCCGCAACAACTGCGGCGATCTCGTCCTTCTTGTCTCAAGTCGTCAGCCCATCTATGAAAGATATCGAGGAAATTGCGCATGCCACCAAATTCGTCATGAATGAATGCTTTGTTCAATTTGTACTGGGGAGGGAGTACGCAGAGTTCTGCAAATTCATAAGACGACAAGACGATTACTTCGCGAGGGAATTGTTGGATCACGCTATTGGTGGTCACTACTACAACCATGAGGATTACGAACATAATGTACAGTTTCTGATATGGGAGACCGAGGCGCGGGAAAGCGTTTAATGGCGGAATTGTGTGCGGGAAACATGGTAATGGCGAACGGCGACGGACTTTACGAGCGAGCGACGGCGATGTTAGCGTTTCCTCCAACATTTTCGTACATCCTTCTATATACCCATATAATAGTCCACGCCTTCACTGCTTGTATCGCCAGACCCAATCTCAGCCATACGAAACTGCGTTGCCATACCATGCCTACACATCCATCAAACCCATGTTTGAGCAACACGTGCACGCATGAATCTTTCCAGAACGCAGAGCGCATTTCTTTGAGCCATTATCGTCAGTCTGCATTGTTGTGTGCGGTCTTTCAGATCTGGAGACGTTGAAAGTCATTCTTTGTCCGCCTCCTACCCTACTCCAAACAAACATCGCAAGCACATCTGCCCCGGGCTGCACAGCTTCAACATCTTCCCTAAACCACCGAAACCTATCGCGATAGCTGCGAAGAATCCAGAAACATGCCGTTACAACCGCATAATTACGCACCCGGCCAGATGAGCGCAAGCCAGCAAAGACTAGGAAGCATCAGCCATTCTCGGATCTTAGATCAACCATGTTGCTATGACACCGACGATTCATCGAGCCAGACCACATCGAGCACAAGTCGGGGCTGGGGACAAAGGAGCGAATCTCTGACCTCAATGTCGCAGTGCGAAAGCGCGTTCGAAGACAGCCAACAATATCTGTTTCGGTGCCTCAAATCGTATTCGGTAAGAAGCTTTTCCGCAACCAAAACCTTTAGAGTTGCCCAGCTAACCAGTATTAGCTCCACATCCTAGTAGCCGTAATCGTCACCCTATTCCTCTTCGAAATCACCGTTCACCTACCCTTCCTCCTCGCACTCACCTTCGCGATCCCCTACGTGCACATGATGCTCACCCCAGAGAAATGCACATTGCAAGGAAACACCCATGAGGATGATTCAGAAGAAGGTCTTTACCGTCGCTCATCCACCTTCTCAATTGTCCCCGGCGAACCTCTTGTCCAGCACAAAGCGCCAGCAACAATCGGCCCAATCAACATCACCTTCCCCGGATTAACCCTCTTCTTACCATCAACATGGTTTCCAAGCGCGATAGATTCCAGCGACCGACCCAGAAGAGTACGCTTACACACCACGTACCGCGAGTCGACATACCAACCCCGACGCACATTCCGCGAGGCGTTGGGAGACACAGGACCACGGCTATTGAAGAGGTGGGGTGCATTTGCACTTGAGACTTTGTGCTTCCAGATCGCTTCTCGGCTTATGATGCGTGTCGCACAGGCTGCATACGAAGCTATGTCTGGCGAAGAGGTCAATGACAATTTTGTGCACATGTACGTCATGCATGTTTTGCGCTTCTATAAAGACTGGACTGTGGGGTTGAGCTCTATTACTTGGTTTATTGTCAAGAGGATTGTTGGAAAGACATTGCTGTCGCTGGGGAAACAGACTGTGATGGCTGCTGGCGGCGTGAAGGACACGAGTTTGGAGTATGAAGATGTGAACACAGTGCAGTTTTGAAGGAACCGAGGCCTGAAGTGGAAAGAGAGAATTGTAAGATTAGGAGGATCATGTTATAAAGCGTATGACAGGGGTTTCTGTTGTTCGGGGTTTGGCGTCAACGGGCGGCTCATGTGATTAATGATTGTCGTTTGGATTACTCACGTTTGACGGTGCAATATGCTGCCAGCGAAACATTGAGTGTCCGACTAGCCTTTCCCTGACGTATCTTTCATCAGTGTCATTTCCTTCAATGTCCATCTGCCCATGCAGCTCCACGCACGATGCTGTTGTGATGTATATCCTTTGACCAATTTCATGACCAACAATGGCCATACGTATATTGTCAATACTGCAGTTATGGTCTCTACAATCACCTATGTCCCCTTCAATACGGTGTTCACGAACACAAAACAAGGATTCAATAAGTTTTCGTTATACAGCTGCATTTCAATGCCACACGCTTCAAAGCTCGAGCAACATATCTACGTAGTACCAGGGCCTCCCTTCGATATCGCCAATTTCGCCGAATACTCCCTACCCCAAAAACCATGAAGCTGACCATCCTAACCACAGCAGTAACGCTGTTCACCACAGCCTCCGCACACTCATGGCTGCATTGCACCAACCACAACAACACTGGTATAAAAGCCGACATGGCAGCTGCGGCACTTGTAACGCCGCAGGCGCCGGTTGACCCGCTGTACGTACCCATTCTTTGATCGCCTGTACGAATGAAGGAGATTGACCCTCTCACAGCATGCCAGCTTTCGCAAACCTATGCCACGGCTGGCCGCGCGCAAAGCAGAACCCAGGCAATTGGATGGATGAAGGCATAGAATGTACGTATATCTTTCTGCCTTATCCCAACCATATCCCCTTACAAAAGCCTACAGATCTATGGGATCTCCCCGCCCAAGCTTCGAAGGGCGACACACACGCCTGCCACCCCAGGCAACGTGCACCAGCCCAATACCTTACTCCCACGATCCCGCAAGAGCCTGATAGCAAGCCACCCTACCATACTGCGCCAGCCCCAATGGCAACAGCCGCAGCCGGCTCTCCCATAACCCTCATGTTTGGTGGCAACGGGCACAGCCGGGGTAACTTCGGGGGCGTGGAGAAAGGCGATCCGGGAAGGGTCGCGGTGTACTGGGCTGGTAGCAAAGAAAAGGAAATCGTGGATGTGAAAGAATTGACAAAGGAGAATCTTATGCAGGATAACGGGTTTAGCGAGGAGAGCTTTGCGTATCCGGCGGATTTGAAGGTTACGGCGCCGCCGGCGCTGCAGGATAAGGGGAATTGGCAGACGGTTCATTTGTAAGTCTCTTCTTTTCGTTGGTACTGTGTCGTTGAGAGAAAACAGAGATGTGCTCGGAGGAGTTTCGTTTGCTAATGTTTCCATATAGGCCAGAGTGTATGGAGAAGGGTCGGCATATGATGGTATGGGTGTGGAATTTTGACGGTGCGAACAAGTACAGTACGTGTTTCGATGTCATGATTGAGTAAGAGACGAGCGGGGCGAAACGACACATCCGACTGGTTACGTACAGCCAGGAGCTGTATGCCTGGTTACCATTAATGCTTTGCTTCTCTTTGCCCACTCGCGGTGCCTGCTTCTCCCCTTGCATGCGCAGTCGCATTGCTGTGCTCGACTAACTTCAGCGGACGATATTCTGCTTCCCACATCTGCTCTCTGATCCACTCCTCTAGATCTGCATCGTCACTTGGTATCCCCTTCTCTTGGGCCAAATCATCTTCCACTGCCTTCTTTATCACGTTCTTCGCGATTTGGACGCTGATTTCGCGCACGTCTTCGACGTCTGGTAGGAGACCGGCTCCACGGTTGTTCAGAACGGGGGCCTCTGAGGCAAGGGCTTGGACGGCGGCGACGAGGAGAGCGGGGGTCATAAGGCGGGTTCGAGAGAGGACAGCGCCGAGGCCGATACCAGGGAACGTTACCGAGTTGTTGCATTCAGCTTGAAGCGGTCAGTAACATCATCACGGAAAGAATATTGTGGACTCACAAATATCGTATTCCTTGCCATTGTGCTTAACTGGTGGAAATGGCGACCCGGTCGCCACCAGCGCTTTGCCATCGGTCCAGTCGAATAAGTCCTGCGGCTTGGCTTCGTGGAGTTTGGTTGGGTTCGATAGTGGGAAGATGACAGGGCGCTCGACGTGCTTCGCCATCTCTCGAACGACGTCTTCTGAGAAAGACCCTGGCTTGGTCGAGGTACCGATGAGAACGTGTGGCCTCACCTCCTTGATGACGGACAGGAGATCGCCATGCTCTTTGCCTTCCCACTCCTTATCCTCTCGCGCAAACGGAAGCTGAGCTGGGGTGAGCTGATCCTTCTTGCCTTGTAAAAGTAGGCCAGGCTTATCGACGCACCTATGTTGTGGTCAGCGTGGGTTCGTCGACTGAGTGTGTGAAGAAGCATACCAAATCTGGCGTCCGGCTTCTTCCCTCGACTTTCCGGTGTTCTGGACGATGGCATCTTGGATCTGGTCCGCAATACCCATGCCTGCCGACCCTGAACCAAACATGACAAAGCGAGCTTCTTCCCATCTGGTCCCGCTTACTTTGAAAGCTGCCATGATGGCTGCCAGCGTTACGCAGCCGGTGCCTTGTACGTCGTCGTTGAAACACGCGATCTCAGGTGTGTATTTATCCAGAATCCTTCGCGCATTGTTCAATCCGAAATCCTCGAAGTGGATGTAGGCCCTGGGGTAGTGTTTTCTCGCAGCCCTTACGAACTTGTCGACAAATTCATCGTATCGCTCGCCGTATACTCGCTCTTTTCGCAGGCCAAGATACAGATCGTCATCGAGAAGGTCTTTGTTCTACGTTCGTTAGCTATGCGCATCTAGTTGGGGATTCTCTACTAACATCGGTGCCGCAATCAAGGACTACAGGCAGCGTCCGTGAAGGATGTATGCCGGCGCATAGAGTGTAGATGACGAGCTTCGCTATGCTGATGAGAATAGCCCCTACGCCCTGATCGCCAATGCCGAGTATCTGTTGCCCGTCGCTCACGACTATCACATCGATATCGTCGGGATTTCCCCACTGCTTGATATCGTCCTCGACGCGGTCTGCGTCATCGATGTTGAGAAAGCAACCTTCAGGTCGCCGGAAGATCTTGGAGTAGTCGGCAATCGCCTCGCCTTCGGTGGGGGTATAGATGACCGAAAACATCTCCTTGAGGTGGTCAAGGATAAGCTGCAGTCGTCAGCCATGCCATGCCATGACCGGCCCATGAACCGTCGCATACCCTGTAGTATAACACTTCATTCTGCTCCTTCAGACTCGTCATGAAGGTGTTCTTGGCAAGGTCGCTCGGTCGGGAGCAGTACTGGGCATATGCGCGCTTGACCTGCTCGTCGAGGGTCTGGACGTTGGTGGGAAGGAGGCCATGGAGCTTGAAGGCGTCGCGCTCTTCTTTGGTGAAGGCTGAGCCCTTGTTGAAGTAGGGCGTTCGTAGAAGCGCATTGCCCTGAACAGTATGTTAGTCGTATAGCTACTAGAGTGGGTGTGCATATCGTACAGTCAGGCTGGTCTCCTGTGGTCCAGATGTTGACAAAGGCAGATGGCCGAACTTGGCGTCCTTCTGCTGCTTTGTATCAGTCGACATGTTTGCGATAAGTGTGCCGCAAGCGATGCGCGCAACTCTCGAGAGATGACTGGGTGATCGCTGGAATGCGGGCAGCGCGGAGGTCGCCGACTTGGTCCAGAGAGGCATATAATGTTAGCACAGGCTAGAACGTTAGTTTCGTAGAAATCATAGCCTCATATTGAAGGTACTCTATCGTCCTTGCTGGCCGCGACAGCCTGTTGAGAAGGGCGTTGCGCGTCGCGGTTTCGGCATGATGACGTCGACGTGAAGCTATCAGGTGTGGGACCCTGCAGCGCAGAAGCTAGACCGTCCAGACGTTTTTGCTGCATGGAGAAGACACGCCGTTTAACGAGTGCATTGGGCGTGGCCATGCAGAGGTATCTGAGAGCAGTCAATGAGAGCGCGAAGTTTGCCCATGTGGTAACGAAACGACCCTGGACCCGTGGACGGCTTCCTTTGTGCACGCGGCACGCGTTGACACCTGTGCACCTGGGCAGTCAGTCGCAACCACCACGCCACTCCCTTTACTTTCTACTCGACTTGAATCTGCAGCGAACAAGAACTCAACTGCGTGATCCTTCCTCCCTCTAAGATTCAATCGACTGACACTATGTTCATCTCCATACAACGCCCTGTCCAAAGCTGACAAGCTACCCAATCCGAACTACTTGCTCCCGGACCCCCTTTATTAGTTTGCTTTGTTAAACATGTTTTATTGAGTCGGGTTCTTGTCGAGTCCAACGCTCTCTGTGTACTCTCGTATGCAGAACTCATTTCGTTTGTCTTGAATTACGTCGGGTTCGTCTGGCGCATAGTATCTACGTAAGGTCGCGCTAGTCGAGTGCATTACCCACTTTGTTGTGTATCAGTCTCGTAAACGTCTTTGCCGAAGTCAAGGGGGATGACTTTGGGATCAGCTCAAGACACATATGTTGAACTAATTCACAATTTCGGAGCAGGCACAGTCGGAAGGACTCGGTAAGAGCTTGGAAATCACATGAACTCTTAGAGCATCCTTGAAGTCGTTCCTCGAGCGGGTCTATATGGCAAATGAGGGAGTCTCGATCATGGACTCGGTACGGTAAAGACTACGGTGACGGCTCCAGGCCGGCCTTTCCAACAGCGATGCCGGCAGGCCGACGCAGTGTGGAAGGCGCAATCCCCCGGTCGCCTCCTGCCGTGAGCACATTAATCTCCTGCCGGGTGAGAATGACAGTCACTCGCGGTCTAGGAGACTTTAAAGCCCAAGCTCAACAAGCTCAAGGCGGGCGTGCTTGCTGTGTGAAGTTTCTACGCTAGCTACCCGCATTCTGGATCTCGCACACAGCATATAATACCCCGTTTCTTCTCCTTTCTAAAGATCCTCACCTTATCTTCGCTCACAACCATCAACTGCTTCAAGATTTCCAGCAATTTCAGAACAGCAATCTCCATACCTCAGCAACCAAGCACCAAGTCGCAAACATGAAGGCTACCACCATCATCGCCACTCTTCTCTTCGGAATCACCATGGCCGCTCCCGGAGCTGTAAGCTTTACCTCTATGCGCCGCCATTCTATTTGAGACTGTACTGACCATCACTTCCCAAAGATCTCCCTCAAGCGCTCCTTCATCGAGGCCGACACTGCCGTCGATGGCGGCGATGCCGCAGTCGCCGGTACTCTCACGGCCTGTGTCGAATGTCCATGCGACGTAAGTTATCTCCTCTGCTAGCTATCGCAGAACGAACAATACTGTACCTGGCTGATGAACATGTCTCTAGGGTTTCTTCGGTGGCTGCACATGTGTCGTCAACGGCTGCTGTCTCAAGCAGAACTGCACTTGGCCTCGTGCTTAAGGGGCTTCCCCACACACACGACCGGAATGGACGCACCCTGAGTGAGGTCTTCTGGGGTGCAAGCAGGTGGATATGTAAGGGATGGATGCACGACTTCACGGCAAACGACAAGATTTAAGGATCATGGATATATGTCTCAAGTTATATGACTAGGCAGTGACAATGCCTGAGACTCAATCAAGGAGATGTTTCTACTTTCTTTGTCCACTCGTCTCGTAACAGTGGGGCGATACAAACAGCGGTGCCCACGAACATTTCCAAGACGGAATACTGCCTGAGGCCATCTTGAAAGAGATGACAGCTAGACCAAAGACCGGACAACGATTGCGAGGGCGCTGACCATGGCCGTTGTCTAAGCCTTCCAGCCACCCTCAGGCACCTCGACATGGCCGTCATCATCACAGCAGCATCCCCCCGAGACGCATTCACAAGCGCCAGTAAAGCCCTGGAGGCGCCGTTAGTGAATCTTGATAATACTCCATGCGCCGCCCTTGCAGAGGAAAAGGCCAACGACGAGGAGACTTACTCCACATGGACACTCGATACAGGCAACTTGCACAGTGCCCTCGACGTTATCGTTGTCGCGGACTGCGATCGTCTTGAAGGAGCGCTTGAGAGAGACCTGGTAGTATAGTGTCAATGAAGTTATCAGAAGCAAGGTTTGGGGAGGCGCACAGCTCCGGGAGCGGCGAGAACAGTGGCAGTATACAGCAAGGTGCTGATGAATAGAGCGAACTTCATATTGACCTGGTGTTTCGAGAGTAAGTAGGTTGGTGTACTCGGTGGTTGTTTGGGAGGTGCTGAGAAGAGTCGAGGGAATGGGAGTCAGAGTCGTCACTTTATGGGAAACGAGATTGGGGCGGATTATTCAAGTGATTTTGGAGTGAAATCGCAGTTGAGAGTACATGTACGCGTATATAACTATACACTGGGTGTCTCACTCAACTTTCTCTCTCTGCATAGCTGGTACCAATTAAGTGTCTTTCTTGCCTTCGTGGAGGGCCCGAACTGTGGCCAAATATCGATTTCCTTCTCAGCTTATCCTCATGAGATGGTCAAGGAATATGGCGTGGCCGGTGAAGTGTCGCGTCTGCCTGTCAGTGGCTGTCTAAAAAAAAAGTGATAGTCGATTCCGCCCCACGCCGTCATCCATTGGTTCTCCTCGCCGCTCGGTCAGAGTGACGATAATCCTACGAATGACCCGGTCTGACAAAGACGGGTCAAGACACAGGTAGCCGAGTCTTTGGGCATAGCTGTGCTGATATGGCTCTCTCTTGTCGAGAGGAAAAGTAGCCATGCAGCCATACGATGTTCTTCCCTATACGGGCACTGTTGATCTGCCCACACTGAAAGCTTACGCAGTGGACGAGTACTCGCTGGATGCGATGGATGGTAGCCAAGAAGAAGGACGTATTTATGTGTATATTATTCGTTCGAGTTGCGCTGCGCCGTGTTGGTGCCTTGGCTTCTCCGTGGGGTCTGAGACAACCTGTCAGCATGTAAAGCTGCGAGATACGACGAGTAAGAGCCAGGTATTTGGCCCAAGAGATCCGTACTGAAAATGTCAATGAGCGTTGATGAGGTGCGAATTTGGCGGCAGGCGGATGATAGTGATTGCGTCATCGCCCCGCTTTTGTTAGTCGCGTCACTACCTAGGTAACGCGCCCCTACCGTATGTGAACGCGACTGCGCTTGCCAATCCTCAACCACCATCATCTCAAATCACTTCAGCCAACTCAGACACTCGATAGCTTCTACTATAGACGCAGCGCTGCACCTGCTTGCTGCATGTGAAGCATTGTACGAGCTATTCCCCGGTCTTATTTTTCCGCTGAGCCTCCGCTGCGCTCTACCCGGTTATGAGACTACTTCGAATGGTTCCTGGCAACACCTCGACAACAACGACTGATCAGCTGCACTAATCCTTTACCATGGTCGACACTATTCTTGCGCAGGATGCGGTTCGTCGGCGGAGGCAATCGTCTCTATCATTCGTCTCGAATTTCCGACATGCTATGGAGCAAAGTTAACCCACTTGAGGTGTACGGCAGTCGTGGTGAACTTGCGATGAAGCCGATAAGCTGTCTCGTGCACTTGGTTCTTGTCGTCGAATTCTCGCGGTGAAGCTGGGAAATTGTCTTACATACTCTGCCTTTCACTTTGTTCAACCTTGTCGCAGTTCTGTCGTGGTGAATTCGAATCACTGTCTCGCATACTCTGCGATTTCACTTTCTTAAATCCTCGTTGCCGCTTTCCACATTTCCCCTCACCAACCGCGCAACGATTTATGACCCAGCCACTGGAACGCCCAGACCTCCTTCTCATCCCTTCCATTGATTAGCCCAGAATGAACGCCGCGACGCTCCCCGTTTATCCGCAATGGGTTGCGCAAACCCTCACGCCCTACCTGCGCTACGCCTTCAAGCACTTATTGCGTGACGATCTAGATATCGCGCCGTATGTCCAGCGAGCGCTCGAGACATCTAGCTCCCAACCGGTAAGTTCCCTCAATTCTTTACTCTCGCAGTCACCGGGTGCTAATTCGATTTAGAAGTCCTCTATCGACGGCGACGATCTCTTTTTTGAGCGCGTCATCTTCGCGATCGAACGTAGGCACCGAGGCCTCCCAGCCGAGCTTAACGGACTCACGGATAACCTGCAGCCTCTGGCGAGGTTTCTCATCCGGCGGGCGCAGCTAAAGGGACCCTACGAGCTGCTGCATCGCAATGCGCAGCCTAGTGAAGCATGGAAAAAGTACGAGAATGTACGGCTCATGCAGATTGCGACCGAGCACACGAGAGGTATGTACACACTTTCACCGGATTTGCCACCACAACGTCGCAAACACAACGCTCTTCACCCCATTTAAGCCCTACATCTAAGCCCCACTGTTCACAATTCCGTCCGTTAATCTCGGTAATGTCATATATACACCCTCTATTCCTCTACGCTGTCCAAATGTCAACTGCTACATTGGCTTTGAACTCTCTTTTACACCGAACTCTTTGCTTAACTGTGGATACTTACATGCACATCAGTGCCAAACTATTCCCCTTCATCTGTGGATAATCAACCAGGAACTTCAACTCTCACGATGACGGCAAGACCACCCACGGACCACAATATTGACCCTCGCTTACTTTACGCAAAGCCCGGCGAGTTCACTGAGCCTGGGCTCTCGGGAACCTTGACCATTCCTGAGTTCCAGCACTACCAACGCCGGAACCAAGAAATTGAAACGTTCTGGGCAAGAAGACAGGGTCAGCTTCCCAATCAGCAGCAAGGATTTGGACTACAACACCCATCACCTGGCTTTCAGGGTTCTCTGCAAAGTCATCAACATGGAACAATGTCGCCAGTTCTGCAGGGCCAGTTCAACAATACTGTGAACGGCCCAGGATTGCCGTACGTACCACGTCCGGCTCTTCAGCAGCATTCTACTCCGGATTACGCACAGCAAGTCGGGCAACAGCGGACTGTAGTGCCATCCCAGCTTCCAACCCCGGCACCGACTCCTACAGCGCAGATGTATACACCGGCTCAGTCTACCCAGCAGTACTCCCCACAACTGGGTTCTTACCAGCCTACGGGGTATCCATCTTCAGCACAGCCGCAATGCTTCCAGCCACACCAGACGCCCAAGGCGCCAGAGCTCAAGATTAAGCAACACAGCTTCCCTACTGCGCCTCGGTCTCAGCCTACGCAGTCCGCAAATACTTCCAACCGTCGTCGCAATACTCAGCCTGGCCTCGCGACTCTTACTAGACCTGCCGGCATTTCCAAGTCCGTTCCCCAACCCCCCACAACTGCTGCCACGCCGGACTGGACCGACCGAGCTCAGCTTGCAGCTAGCATGCCTGCTTTTAAAAGTCTTCCGAAAGCAGAGAAGGTAGCCAAGATTCTGGAGATCAACAGAGCTATAAAGGCGAAGAACCCTACTACGCTCACATCGATGGAGCAGTTCTTGCTTGACCTGGATGTCGCTAAAGAAGACGTCACCGCAGTGGGAGTAGTAGGGCCCGATGGTAATATCGTGAAGCCACCAGGTCAACAAGCGATATCCGTTCCAGCGCCGAGCTACCCGACTCCTCCGGGGCTACAGACAACTCCACCAGGTCTCCCAGCCTTCGCGCATCATCCGGGGTATTCGAACATTACGAGTTCGTTCCCTCAACCGTCCTATAACCCACCAACGAAATCTGCACCGGCTGGCAAGCGAGGGAGGAAGAAGAAGGAGAAGAAGTGAGACAAGTTCGAGCGGCACGCGAGCTGAACTGGCTATTAGGATACTGATGTTTGTTCCCTAAATCACTTTATCACTTGATTGGAGCCTACATATTGCTTGGTTCGATGGCAGTACGTTTCCAGGCTGTTCTGTGCGAGTTCATACTGGAGGGCTGTCGGCCTGGACACGCTTCCACGCAAAGTATGACTATTAAAGGTTAGAGAAGCAAATTACAAAGTGTATTACTGATTGCGATATTGAACGTGACTATCTGTGAGCCGCATCTATCTAGCATAAGCCCTCAACTCAGGCTCAGCGTACATCTTTTGTGGGTACGTCAACAGCAGTACACCAGCCACTGGAATGAGCCCCTCGGTAGCCAATACATCGTCAAGGTCGAGACCCTGAGCGGCGTAGGTACTGCAAACGCTCTTGACATCAATGCGATCCACATTGCCAGGTCCATCGTGCGTAAGCGCATCCACGATAAGCGCGTAGGTTAGAGGGTTGAACAGAACGCCGGCATGGCCATAGAGGGAGCCGCCAAGCTGTCCAAAGCACACTTTCTGTACCTCGTTGTTGGAGACACCAACATTGCGCGCGTCATTGATGAACGCGGATGCGATAGTGCCTTGTTGAGGCTCCACAACCTCATCAAAGAGGCCGGAGTAAAAGGTCGTAGTGGGTACGTATGCGCTGTCGCCTCCATCACGCCTGAGCGATGCAATGTAATCGGAGGTAGCCTCTTGCTGGATAACAGAGGGGTCGCAGGGAAGGAGCGCGATATCGCTGTTGGGTGTCAAGCAGATAGCGTTCGCGATTACGGTACCCTTGAAGTCTGGGGACACGGGCAGGAAGTCCTTGACGACCTTGCGGGTTGATGGCCAGTACTTCAACACCCACTGTGTATCCAGACCACCCTGAGACCAAGAGATGACGGCGATGTTCTCCTTGTTCGTGCGTGAGACCGCGCTGATGTAGTTGATGGCGTAGGCAATGTATTCAGAGTTGGTTTGCGCGTCCGCAAGCATAGCACCGGGGATGTTGAGCCATACAGGGTCAGCATAGCTCTTGCCATTCAATAACTTCCTGAGGTTGCTGGCAAAGTTTGTGCCTCCGTAGGCACCAGTTCCGGGTACAAAGATCACTGGGCGCTTCGCGCCGTAGGTGAAGCTAGGTGGGATGAAGAGGGCTTTTCGGAGCGCAGACTCGGAGAGTGTGTATGGTGCATCAGCAGCATCCTTCTTGGGGTAAATACCGAAGGTGGTTGGGTTGTTGTTGTTGATGCTGTTCTCGCCGAAAGGCAGACCACCGGTGAAAGCGGCCTTTAGCGTGTCGTCAAGGACCAGGCCACCGGCTATCTGTGTTGCTACCGCGGCGAAAAAGTCCGTTCGCGTGGTCGGACTCGCCCAGATTTCGGAGTGCCTTGCGACAGCCTCTTCGATGCTCGTTGGTCGCGAAGTAGGCTCGAGTAATTGTAGGATTTCGAGCACCTTTGGGGCATCGCCGTCCTTGACTGCTTGGTCGCATTGGCCGAGGAGGCCACCCACGAGGGAGGTCAAACCAGATGTGAGTTTATTGAGCAGTTGACGCTCATCTAGACCCTGGACTGCGTCGACGGCCGGTGCAGGTGCTGCAATCGGTGCAGGTGCCGCAGCTGGAGATGGTGCGGGTGCTGCGAGCGATGCAGGGAGAACGCTCAGAAGAGCTAGCGATTGGATGGAGAGACGCATATTGACAGTTGACCTTGGTACAAGAAGCAAGCACGACCAAAAGACGAGGAGATGCAGGGCCCTAGTCGATCAAGATAAGCAAGCATACGACCCTTCTTTAACCATTTCCACGGCGCGAGTCGTGAAGCTCATGATCGTCATCCTTTCCAAACGTTGCATCGCAGTCTACCACGAAATGTTTACATTGTCACGACTCTAGCGTCGCCGACCAGGTGGAACAGTCGCGGAAGCGCATCTTGGTATATATCGATCTGCAGAGGCCTTGAAGATCTTGCACTACCCAAGTCATTAGCGTACGGGACGGGCTGTGATCATGATGCTCCCCTGAGTAGATCAAGAGCTGCTTTACTTGATTCGGTTTGAAGACTATTGAATGCGGCAGTTGAGCGCCACTGACATCGCGAACCCACTTTCCGCTTGGGTTCTGATTGACGCATGGCTCTGGCGCATTCGGCATTCGATCCACGCGAACGAACCTTCTGCACGTGTTACAGATGCATTGTATAGTCGTGATGGTTGAGCAAGGAATGCATGAACATTGGCCGGTGAAGAGTGCGCTCAGAAAAGAGGAGTTGCGTCCATAGCCAAGTAAACGGAGTGAGCTGTGGAGATGCGATTGGCCGAGTCTTGCCAGCACACCTGGGCATCGACCTGGGCAGCCTCTTAACTTGACCACGCTGAACCTCGGCTTAGCACCCCGCCAAGATATCGGCGATGATGCTTGCGCGCTGTGGAGACATACACATGCAATTCTGCTCAGAGACGAGGAATTCTATCCGCCAGATGGGTCTTTTTGACGTTGAGAAAATGTCCGTGGGCCCACACTCCGCACATCGAAGCGCGGCCCAAGCACCCGTTCTGCGGAAATTATTCCCGTCCCTCTTCTTTTCCAGCCCGCACAATATCTCCTTCCGGTCCCTGATTCACTGGATGTATGTTTCAGGTCGATGCTAGCGTTCTAAACAAGAACAAACTTGCAGTTCGTCCCCAAGACTTCTAGTCTCAGCTAATCTGTGGCTAGTAGCACCACTACTACTGCGTTACCATCTGGAAAGTTACTGAACTGCATACTATCACCTCTACCCCGCCACAACTCCAAGCATTTGGTCTCGACTCTCTTGCATTTTTCTCTCTCCCCTCAATTCTGCGCGTTCCATGGCGCCTGATTTGACGAGCTTCTCGGAGTCGTTGAAGCCGTGGGCTGTCGCTGAGTTCCCTCGGCTCGTCTGGGTGTGTATCCTAACGATGTCGCAACATTCCATGCCTACAGCCTACAGTAGGAAGGGACCTCGGGACCTCGGAAGTCGACCGGTCTTGAGCTCCATCAAAGTCTTGGATCGAGAGATAGTAACAGCTTCTGCCCCCATCCAAAAACGCAGGTCCAGCGCATAAGAACCATCAGCCAAGACATCAGAGAGGATTGTTGTTGGATCGTGCAACAAAGCAATCTGCTCGTTCTGCGATACGGAGAACATTCCGTGTTGGTGCTAAAAACGCGTGACGTCATCTTTAACCAGGTAGCGCGGTTCACAACCGTCCCGGGACGCACCCGTGGACGCGACATCTACTTCAGCGTCCCATTTTCTGAACGACACCGTGCTTGCTATATGGGTTCTTATCACGCGCATGCGCATGATGTCTCTTTGTTTTTCACATTGGAGAAGCCCGTCGCAAAGCTACCCAGGCATCTAAATGATGCCCACCGGCTTGGAGAAGGCATGGTACAGCTCGCGGAAGAACTCGCATAGCTGCGACGGGGCAGTAATACTTTTAAGCAGCATGCGATGTATCGGCGACATGGTAATGTTTGCAACGGTCTGCGTCATGATGTACCTGCCAATCATGTTCTGATTGTCGCAGTCTTGGTAGTCACGTCCACAGGAACCGTAGCTACCACGCTCAAAGCGTCTTCTATGGCCCAGGCACAGACTCATCGCGACCTTTCACGTTGTACGTCGCACATCGACCCTACAAACGCACGCCCTCCCTATTCCTAATGTACCTTGCTTTATCATCGCGCAGGGCCGACACGATCTATCTGGACCCTAATGAGTAGCTCGTTCTTTCAGTTACCGCTGCCTACAGCTCCTTCTATCTTACACCAGGCCCAAAGGCAAGATGCTGCTCTGGACGTCCTCAACACATGCACCCTTCCGCAACTATTGGATCTCGATGACAGGCCCACATTCATGCTCAACATGGACGAATATTCGACGGGATGTCGAAATCCGATACGACCCGTTTTCTGCAATGCGGCACTTCGTGAGCAACACCAACTACTGGAGAAGGTAATTGGCACTTCACCAACCGATCGCGACTCGGTGGATGGTAGTGCAACGCATGACGAGTTTCGAATATGGGCGACAATCCTCAGCAGATTCAACGATTCCAGGGACATGTTTCCGATTACCATCGAGTTCGAGAACTTGTTGTGGTTTGGTGCTTCGATCCATCCCAATTGGCGACTGATTAGCGCACACAAGCTGTTCCAGAATGAAGATGTCCCCGAAGGGGATCCACTGTGTGCATCAGCGCCGCGACTCGAGAAAGAAGGACACAGCGATCTCACTGCCGACGCAGCAAAGCGTTTAGCTTCCGCAGAGGCAATAGCGACGCGGGAGATTATTGAAGATGTGCAACAACCCAAGTTCCCATTTGTTTCCCTCGGCCAGGACCGTGACAAGAATAGCAAGTCGAGCATCTCAGCGATCACTCTGTCTACGCCTGACTCGTCTGTACCTGACTGGACAGTACCGCACCCCAGAGGTGTTCTCTCGGATCATCTACAGTTTATACGGGGCATCGACTGGGCAAATACACCATTAGGGGCTATGAACAGATGGTCGATCCAGTTCCGAGAGATCGTCTGTTTGGTCATGCGCAACCCTCACCCGTCTTCTGTCTTTTGGGGCGAGGACCTGACCATGCTTTACAATGAGGCCTATCGAGACGACGTGACGGGCGATAAACATCCGGCTTTGATGGGAACCGGTTTCTCAGGCCCCTTCGGTGAAATGTGGCATGCGGTTGGTCCTGTAATTCGCGAATGTGCTCGGACAGGCCATGCGCAGCTAAACCACAACCAGCCGCTACCCATCATGCGTTACGGTTACATGGAAGAGTCTTTCTTCACTTGGTCTTTTGTCAGTATTGATGCCCTCGATTTGGCCCCATGAATACATCTAACACATGGCAGGTTCCGGTCTTTGGTGGAACAGAGCGAGTCTTGGGGTGTGAGTAACACTGCGAAACGTTGCCGTACCGCCTATCAGCGAGACTCAGTGGGCTTGAGTCAAAGATACTGGAACTGCTGACTGAGATGCGAATTGTAGTCTATCTCAATGCTTTTGATACCACGGTTGAGTCGATCAGCAGTAGAAGAATGTGGTTACTGCGATCCCTTGGGGAGCGTATGAACGCCACACGTACTGTCAGTAAGTGAATATGGACGATCCTTCATGTGAGACTGACGCTAACCGCGCACCCACATTTCAGAAGAATTCTGGATAAGAGTGCTGGAAGGTCTGAATCACAACGAATACGACGTACCCTTTGCGCTTCTATATACCGTTACCGAGGCAGACGATATTGAGAATGGTTCCTCGCATTCAGATGCAACGCCAACGTCTGTCAAGTCATGCGTGTTCGAAGGATCTATCGGCGTGCCGAGAGGGCATGCAGTGTCTCCCGACAAATTCAGCTTCAAGAACTACGATGGTATCTTGACACCTGCTTTTCGAGCAGCTACGCAGACCCTGGAGCCCAGAATGTTGAGCATCAAAGACCATACGCTTCCACAGCCACTGTTAGACATCATCGAATGGCGCGGCTACAAGGATCCTTGTAGAGAGGCGATAGTTCTACCTCTACGACCAACCAATGCAGACAACGTGTGTGCCTTGTTACTAATAGGCATCAATCCGCGAAGGGCTTATGATCATGAGTACAGGTCTTTCATCGCCATGCTCAATAGACAGATCGCCACGTCATTGGCGTCAGTACTACTTTTCGAAGGTGAAGTGCGGCAAAGCAAAGAAGTCGCTGAGATGGCTACCCTACAAAGAGAACAGATGTCTCGACAGCTCCAACTTCAGACCGGACGAATGCGCCGAATGACCGAACTATCGCCCATGGGCATGTACCTATTCAATCCGGATGGACTTTTACTGGAGGCGAACGAGAAATACTACGAGATGACAGGTGTCTCACCTACAGGAACCAAACTGCCTTGGACTATTGAGATGATGGTGGGTGAGAGCAAGCAAGTGGCACAAGACATGTGGAACTGTACGCTATATTGTCATGCCAGTCGAATGTTTCAAGCGCTAACCACGAAGTTTAACATCCAGATATGATAACTCACCATAAGCCAGCAAGTCGTGAGCTACAATTTGCCAATTCGACATTCCAGCCCCGAGATATCGACGGTTCACTAATCGAGTATTGGGTCCTCTCTGCTAGTCAGCCAGAGCTAAGCCCCGATGGTGAGCTGATCAGCATCATGGGCTCGCTCACGGACATTTCGCATTTGAAGTGGGCGCAGGGTCTGCAAGAACGAAGACTACGGGAGGCAGAAGAGGCGAAGCGTCAACAAAACGAATTCATCGACATCACGTCGCACGAGATGAGAAGTAGCGATATCCCTCCCTATGCAGATTGCATTCGAAATGTCTACTGACGCGTTTATCAACACCTAGACCCGCTTTCCGCGATCTTGATATGTGCCGACGATATCAAAGATACTTTGACGCACTATGAATTCTCATGCGCTGGCGATCAAAAGATGGCCCAGGACTGTATCGAGGCTGCTGAAAACATCGCTCTTTGTGTTCAGCATCAAAAGTCGATCGTCGACGATATTCTCACGGTCTCAAAGCTGGACTCGAATCTTCTCCGCATCACTCCAATTCCAGCGCAGCCTATCATCGTTGTACAGCGGTCTATGGCAATGTTGGTAGCCTGTATAGTCGAATATATACGGAAGCTGGGCTGACATCATCCCAACAGGTTCCGTCCTGAAGTACAAGCCAGGAACATCGACTTCAAGTTCGTTCCGCATCAGAGTATCCGAGACCTCGAAATTGACTGGGTCATTCTTGATCCAAGTCGACTCCTTCAAATCATCGTCAACCTTATTACCAATGCCATCAAGTTCACTATGGACGCACCAGTTCGCTCGATCACAGTTCATGTCTGTGCTCATGCGGAATCGCCAGACTTTGGCGTACCAGAAGGATTCCAATGTAAGTAGCTGCATTAGTCGAATATCCTGAAGGTGAAGCGCTAATTCTATGCGCCCGCCGTTAGTTGTTCCGCCAAGACAAATCGTGAGCGAATTCGGAAACGGCGAGGGTTGGGGCTCAGGCTCGTTCGTCTACCTTCGGTTCAATGTCCAGGACACTGGATGCGGTTTGTCGCCTCAGCAGATATCGCTGCTATTTGAGAAGTTTGCGCAAGCTGTGAGGAGAGACCAACCCCGAACCACTGCAAAAACTAGGCTGACAGAGTTATCAACGTGAAGTCTCCACGGACGCATATGCAGTACGGCGGTAGCGGTCTCGGGCTCTTTATCTCACGCCAACTTGCTGAGCTTCACGGCGGTCAAATCGGCGTCTCGTCGCAAGCTGGCGTCGGCAGTACTTTCGGGTTCTACTTGAAATGCAAACGCATGATTGCAAAAAAGCCTACGATCTCAACAGATACAGTGAAGCACGCTCTAGACGCCGAACACGCGGCATCTTCGCGCAAAATCAGCGCCGCAGCTGCGAACCAGAACTCCACCGCGCCCGCTGCCACGCCTAAGGAAGTTGAGACCCCGGTACAAGCACAGATTCCCCGGCCCACAAACGACAAGAAAGACGAAGAAGAAGATGACCGACTTCACGTTCTTGTCGTCGAAGACAATCTAGTCAACCAAAAGGTACTAGTGAAACAGCTCACAAAAACTGGCTGTGTCACACATACCGCCGATAACGGCGTCTGGGCATTGAAGCACCTCACGAAAACGAAATTCTGCGTTGCTAATGGCATGCCACTCACCATCATCCTCATGGACTGCGAGATGCCGGAGATGGACGGCCTCACCTGCTGCAGGAAGATACGAGAGATGGAGGAACGGAAAGAGATTACGAAGCATGTGCCAATCATCGCGGTCACCGCGAACATTCGGGGAGGACAGATGGATGACGCAAAGGAAGCGGGTATGGATGATGTTGTTGGGAAGCCGTTCAGGATTCCGGATCTCTTGGCGAAGATGAAGGCCTTGTTGAAGAAGCTGGAGGACTAGAAACGAGTGTGCATCTTTCCTAATACAGATCCTTGACGCATACCTGGTTCTGAACAATCATGGTCACCGTTCATCGAAAGATTCATGATATTCCGAGGCCACACATAGCCCATGTTGTCTCTGTCGTAAGACTTCGGTCGAGGTCATCTAAAGATGCTTTACGTTTGCAAACACCCCGAGAGACTCGATCAGGCTGCTGTCATAGCCTCGAATCGCTCTTCTTTTTAATGTATGTGAACCGGAATTATCAAACGCGTGTGCTGAAGACCTCTCGTAGACGTCTCAAAAAGAAAGCCGTGTAAATTCATGCACCTGAACTCCCCAGACGAAGGCACAGCGAACATCATCTTTCAATCTACCAATTTTGGATACTCAGGCCAAACACAGCCATGCTTCCAACTACTTTAACTTTTGGTCGACGAACTCGCAAGTTCGCCGCCATGAGTGGAGAGAAGAAGAAGAGGTTTGCGGACGGGAGAAGAGGTTTATATGCACCAAGGGCGGCGCTAAGATGACGCTAGTCAAACATGATGGTACCGACAAGATGGTATTGAAGAGGGGGACAAGTGACGTTGCAGCCTGACGTTGCAATGGACGTCACCAGCCGATAAGCGGCATACCTACGCAGTGTTTGTCTAGTACCGAGAGAATGACATGATGACGAAAGGAAAGAAGGGAAATCCAATCAAACGGGAAGAGAAGAAGGAAATATACCGTGAAGTTCTGATACATCCAACTCCGACTTACCATTCCGTCCTATGAGCCAGCGCTCACATCCAAAACATCGTCTTGTCGAGAGCCTCGGCCCACGGGCCAGGCCCATCAGTTCGTTGACCTTGAAAGTACTGCTTTGCTGCGAGGAGGTATTCACTCTCGAGAAGGTCCTCGGCACCTTTGCGCGACTTGCGTTCCTCATCGACCTGTTCTACCGACTTCCTAGCCCTTCGACGACCCGCGGGAATTGGTTGTACAGGAAGTCGCGAGATTGTGTCTCTCAAAGCGGTCTTAGCATCGTCCTCAATCTCGGCCTTCCGGTCCTGGTAGGCTTTGAAGTGATCGCTCTCATAGTTGGGTGTGAACCAGTCGCGCAGGTAGTTGCGGCCACGTTCGCAGAGCCTGTCCGCATAGTAGGCTGGTGGGGCATAGGAGACGCCCATCGTGGCGCGTACGTAGGTGAAGCAGAGCTTGTGTGTCTAGATGTCAGGTTAGCAATCTTCAGCTCTGTGGGTAGGCCCGTAAAACTTACCAGGCGCTGAATTTCTGTGTCGGAGAACTTCAGGCCATTCTCGAGAACAAAGTACTTCGTAGGTATAGCCGTGCCCTGCAACGCATGATGAGACTGCAGGTAGAACTCCGAGAAGAAGGGCGATGTGATGCCACTATCAACAAGCGTACCTGCCTTGCAGTTGCCATTCGCATGGGCTTCCCCAGCTATGGGAAAGAATCGTGTGTTGTGTCGCTTGACTGCAACGACAGCCGTCATCTTGGGAGAGTCGGCTGACTCGCCGGGGAAGACAGTGTTCCATGCTTTCTTGATAGCTTGCAATTCTTCTTTGACGACTTGCTCGTATTGCCTAAAGAATATTAGCCAAGTTGATCTTATGCTTCTTGACTGGCGTATGTGTTGTCAAACCTACCCTGTCGAAACACCGTCCCTGTAGTAGAGCACATTCGGGAAAGATTGTCGAGCTTCCTTCCATGCTCGAAATCTGTCCATCGCCATACCCTCTATATCATCAATCATCTGGAATATGTTAGCGTTGCAATGGTCGAAATAGCCTTAAAGTATTTACTTCTTTCTTGCTCTTCTGTTGGAGACGCATAGAGCCCAGGAACTTGCCTCCATCCAGGTCTACAGAGCCGACCAAAGCTGCAATCGAGGGACAACCAACGAGTGAGTTGGTACCTGGATGGGTGACATCAGCGCCGAGAATCATTACGCTCCTGGCAGGCGCTTCCTTGAGAAGCGTCTTGCGGATAGTTCCTTCGCCAGGGTTTTCGTCACACGCGGTATGGTTTAGCCCTCCCTGCTTCAGGTTGACCTTCATCATGACGTTGGCGAAGTACTGGCTGAGCCCCTTGTCGCCAAGTTGCTTGTTCGAGTTCTTTTCGGCAGTGACGCAGAGTGATTGAAGCCCAGCTATGCGATCGGCGACGTCCTTGAAGGCCGAGTAGACAGGAATGTTGTATCGTTCAAGTACAAGAATGACGAGCTTTCCGTTGGCAGATTGCTCTTGGCATCTTTTGATAGCCTCCTTGACATCGCTCTTGAGTTCTTCGTGGGTTTTGGCCAGCGTTATGTCTGGCTTCTGTTCTTTGAGCTCTTCGTCGGTATCAGACACCGTCTCGTCTGGCTCCTCTTTCTCGATGGTTTTGCGGTAACTGGGTAAGGTGGAAATGCCACAGCAGATCGCACACTTTGCGATGCCATACTGTGAGACACCCACATTTATGGCTTTCTGGTATGTCTCAGCTACTTTCTCATTAGAGAGGTCGCTGCCGTTGATCATGTAGTATTCAAGCGAGCCACCAGACGAGGGCGTCTTAAAGAACTTGAAGTTGCCGTCGAGATTCCACTGAGCTTTGCTGTCCATGTTTGGCTTCTTGTATTCCGGATTGCCGGATTCCTTGAGGTAAACGGCGTGCACTTGTTCCATACGAGTAGAGGGTATCTGAAGCATGCGTGGGTCGATGGTCAACGCATTGCATTTGTCCTGTGAGGAAGTCAGCTGTGATCAAACCAAGATCAAGATGTGCTTACAAAATTCTGCGCCCCATCCTTTTGTATTATGCCAAGACCTTTCAGGCCCTCAGCTTCAATCCTAGCTCGAACGTGGTCGGGAGTTTGACAGGCGAGCCTGAGCATCGAGTCGATGAGTGTATCCGGAAGAAGATTGTTGTAGAGCTGATACGGCAGAATGCGAAGAAACTCCTGTGGATACCAGACTGGTTCATCGTCTTAGTTTCTCGTCAAATCTACGTGCGTGACCAAAGACTGACTTCATGTGGTCGACGACATGTGTATCCTCATTTGCCTGCTGTAGTTGGCCTCCGTTGTTGAACCATTTGCGGAACTTCAACGCGTCGTCTGAACGATTTCCGATGTCCCCACCAAAAGCTTTGACAGTCTTGATGCGATTCTGCGGCCTATTCAGGTTGTCAACGCGCTTTTGTTCCTCAGGATCAGTAACGGCTAGTCGTTCCGGGATGATGTAGACTCGCAATCGCTTGATACGTCGCTCACGCTCGTTCTGATGGAAGGTGTTGTCCTTGAGAAATTCTGCGACCGTGATTGGGCGATAGAAAGCACTCGTTGCGGCGTTGACGTTGAGCAAGACCTTTTCCATAGCTGGCGAAATGGTGTAATCGTATCCTCGCATGACACAGAGCGACTTTGATCTACCGAGAACCTCGTGGCTATCCTTGAAGAAGAACTTGTGCGAGGATGTTTGAAACACCTCGTCAGTCAGATTCTTCGCAATGACTGTGTTTAGATATGCCACTAGAGGGTTGAAGTTGAAGTCGGGCAAAGCTGAGTCGTTGGGTTTGGATCTGGGGTTGACGTAGTCCTGTAAACGATCAAGGTTCATCTCGCCGTGACATTTGAAGTATAGTTGAACGCGACGGTCTCCATCTGCAATTGGCGTTGGAGTCCACATAACCTCTTCCGCGGATGTACTCTTGCGAGGGCACTGGATACCCGTATGAAGGTCCCTCCAAGCCACAATAAACTTCAGATGATCCGTGGCAAAGTGAACTTGGTTGTTCCGGAGAAAGTCCCAGGCCTGGATCGCTGTTTTGACAACAGCTTTGGTCTTGCGCTTGTTTCCAGCGGGTATATCAGTGATCTCGTACACGAAGAACTTGGTATTGTTGTTCCATGACACCTCGAAGTAGTTCGTGAGAACGTGACTGGTGGGCTTTGCGAATTGCTTTCTCAGGGGGAACTTTGCGCTCACGATCGAGAGCTTTTCCGTTGTAGGCTCATGGACGTGACCCGCTGCTACTTGATCTGTAGTAGGTGCGCTGTTGGCTTGACGAAGTACAGTATCTACTGGCTCGCTCTTGGCTTGTTCTTGAATTACCAGAAGCTGAGGGGTCGTCAAACTTGCATGAGGGTCGGTACCGGTAGGGTCGATAACGGGAAATCCAGTTGGGACGATGATGGGCTCGATGTTAGTCGGAACAGTTTGCGTAACGGTTTGCGGAGTGGAGGCTTGAGCACTTGAGCTCCCGGCTTTTTGTGCAGCAAGTAGTTTCTTAGTGTGGGCGGCCCTTAATGTTGCTAGGTGGGCTTCTGCTCCCGCAATGTCGGTACCCTTAAGATTTCTCCATACCTCACCTTGCAATGGAACCATGCCTTTATGATTGTACGCACGATGGTCGAGGCCGCATTTGATGCAAGGCTTCGTGAGAAACCCTTCATCAATCTTGTCTCTGATCTCTTGCGAAAGTGACATACTGGTGTGACCCAAAGCGAAGTAACCAAAGGTGGAACTGGAAAGAGTGCCGGTATGAACAGAAGGGTCGGATGCCTTCAGATACTGCTGGTGCTCCCTCGTACCTGTGCGCAGGCCTCAACTTATACTTCGTCTTCCCACAATCCAAGAGCTGCAAGCCGCTTGTCTGTCATGTAGATTGGAATTGTCGTCCGCTGGTCAAACCACAATCTTTAGGCATCCAGTCACGGTTGCGGTTGGTCAAGTTTCTGAAAATTGTGAGACTTGTCGCGCGGATAGCTGGTTAGCAACGACCAAAGGGTGTAGCTGTAAACGTAAGACTAGTAAGACACGATCTTCCTGTGCAAAATGCCATGTTCTCTTCGCCAAAAATGACGAGCATCGCCACTCAGTTGGACATGCTGCGAGAAATAGCAAAGGCAAGCAAGCGTGACTCCGCAAAGTCAGACCAGTACATGACCATGCAAGCCGCGGCGCAGACAAACAGCTTGTGAGCTATTCGGAGGCCCCTTCGAGAACATCACCCTTCTCTGATTGTTGGGGTCGAAGAGCGATTCGGGGTAGCTTTGGGGATCGAGACAAAGGATCTAGACATGTAAGGCGCTCACCAACACCACAGTAATTCGCGCATCGCTCATAACGGACGATATGCCAAACTTACGAAGTTTGGACCGTTCATAGTCGCGCAGTCTCATATAGGATATTGAGTTGGATGCTCTCAGGTAGCATTGCGCATCCTGCCTTGTGCTGGTGTTAGAAGAGAATGTAAGAGCCATGATCCACCTCGATTGAGGCATCGCAAAGGAGAGGAATCCAGTTGCGGGTTCATTCGTCTGCTGGGTGATGATATCGTGGTGAGCTCTCGTCTCATCATGACGCGTCGCTGCCGCCAGCTAGGAAACAATCAGGAGCTCAAGCGCCATCACGTGCTAGCGCATTTTACGCGACGCGTCAAACCTTCCTTCATCTCCACCTTGCCGTCCTGCCCATACTGCACCACAACACGCGACACCATCTGCGCCCGCCACACACAATCACCCAGCAGAACCACACCACATTAACGCTACACCAAGCGCTCACAAAGTTCCCCCGCGGAAGATACTCAAAAAAAGCTAGTTCACAATGGACCACCCCCAAACCCCCCGCATCCTCGCCCCACACCTATCAAACTTCCAACACCGCATCGTGCGCATGCTAGGCAAAGTCGTCCAACTACGCGGCGAGACAGCAGTCATCGATGCAGGAGGCAATGTTGATGTTATTCTGAACAGGGTAAGCACCCTGAAAGACGAACGGAAGGATGTATCCGAGCTAACATTGATCGACTAGGATTCACACCTCGCCGTCGGCCACGCAGTAGAGATCATCGGCAAAGTAGACCAGAATCTGCATGTCAAGGTACAAGCTGCTACGGACTTTGGGACGAATATCGGTATGTACACTCATTCACGAAGTGGGTTTTACGCTAACGCAAGAGCAGACTTCAATGCCGCAAATGCCGTTGTAGATGCTACACATCGGTACAAGGAGATCTTTTACGATGACAACTAAACACCAACCGTCGATGGCATTCGAGGATGGAATCGGTTGATCTATCCGCCATCAAATGTAATGCATCAGCAAGCGAAGGAAGAAGGTCATGACCAGATTTCATGTATCTGTAATCCAATCGTATAAAGCCAACACGCTATATGTTCTACGCCTAATGTATGGTATCTTCCTGCCACAGAACCTGAGCGCCCGTGAACGCCAACCCATTCAAGATAACGCCCACATATTCATACAGTTACACTAAACATTGCCGTTTCGATCAGGTGCTTAGAGCTTACTTCGCACTCCCTCGAGTCTAAACTTGACGTCTTTGAGCTGTTTCCCAGTTGGCTTCCATGCCTCAAACATACCCAGCAACTTCTCCACCTCATCTCCAAGTTCTTTCTTGACGAAGTCTTCTTCTAGCAACCCTCTCATCGCCCAAGGTAAGAAGTAAGGGTTCGGGTTTGTTGTGGTGGCAGATGGCTCGTAGTGATTCACCCGAAGCTTGAACACGTCCTCCTTCTTACTGTTGTTTGCAAGCTTCTCACCAATAATGGGGATGTTGATGCCCTGGAAACTGCCCGCGGTGCTCGGGCGCTCTTTAATTGTTGTTGGTGTCGGTAGGGATGTTGTTTCGAGGGCGTGTTGGACGGCTAGGGAATAGATGGCAGGGTCTTCGTACACGCGGGAGTGGCCTTCGCCGCCATACAGGGAGCCTGCGAGGGCAGGTGAGAGTTCGCGAATGAGGCCATGGTCGGGAAGACCAAGATTGCGTAGCTTCAGCGCGAAGCCAACGAGGTGGGTTAAAAAGTCCGGCGCATGGATGCGGCCATCGACGAAGACAGCACGGTATATGTAGGGATGCGAGAGCGTAGAGAATGTTGACGACTGGCTGTGTTAGTAGGGCACAAGAAGCTCGTTTCGGGGGGGTTGACTTACTTCGAGAGAAACCAGCTGGTCGTCGATACTACCAACGTACAATATCCGCACGCCGAATCGAAGAACTTCGTCGAGAGCCGCGAGATACATCTGGCTGACAAGACTTTTGGGGTTGGAGAACTCAAACAACTCGGCAGCTGTAGGCCCAAAGTACTTCGTCTTGTACTCGATGAACGGGCCCATGTTGACGCCGGCCATGGCGCATACTCCGATCCTCGTTGCGTTGACACAACCGAACTGTATGAGCTTCGCGACAAGCATCATAGCTACCGGCACACCCTGCGAGTGGCAAGCGACCAAGATGAAGTCGGCTTGCTTCAGGTGATCAATCCAGTTCAGCAAGAGTTTCCACAGGGAGTTGACGCGCTCAGCAATGAAGCCTTCTCCTTCTAATGCTATCTGCTCAATCTCTGGACTGTATCCCCGCGCTTCGGTCCAATCTTTAATCGCTGCTGCCGCTGCATTCGCGAAGCGAATTGATGTGCCCGTCGGTTGCCCTAGCACCTTTTGAATGATAGGCGCAGGGAAGAATCCATGTACACCAATGGCTACAGCTTTCTTGATCTTTGGCGGTGCCGGGTTGATATGTAGGTGAGGGGTCGCAGGCTCGCCTCCGAGGAAGTATCGCCGGATCTGCTTCCAGAAGTTTGGTTGCTGAAACATTTGGTAGGTGGTCCTGAACTCTGGTAGCAGGAGGTTCGCCGGTCCTTGCTTGGCCTTCGCTGCCTGCTTGAGCGCTTGCTTAGCAGCAGTTCCTGTCTCGGGCTTCGCGTCGGGCTTCGTTTCGGGTTTCGTAGGCTCGAGCACTGGTGAGGCCTTCGTCGGTGTAGCGGGCTTACTTGACGAGGGAGTATCTGCTGGTGTGTCTTTAGCGAGAGGCTTTGTCTTCGGTCGGCCTCGTAACGATGCAAACGATTTCTTGGTCACAGGTTCCTCTTTCGGTGGCTGCTGTGGTTCTTTGGATGTCTCTGTGTCTGTTTTGGGCTGCTCTTGCTCGTTGAACTGCGCTGCTTCAGGGTTCGATTGTGAGGGGGTATCGAACACTGCGACCTCGCCGACATGTTTCTGCGGTCCAGCCTCTCCTGGCTTCTTTTCGTCTTCTGGCTTGCCCCTGTACCAAAACGCCCATGCGGAGGTTTTTGAGGACCCTGTAGTACTCTTCTGAGTTTCGATAGGCACATCGGGGGCAGTGGGTGCTGGTGTCTCTTGGGGAGCAGTGGGTTCGGGCTCAGCAGGTGCTTCGGGGAGAGTCTGCGGTTCGGTATCGACTTTGGCTGAGTCGTTATTCTCAGTGGGAGGCTCGACTGGAAGTGGATTCGCCTGCGCATTCTGCGCACTACTCCACGTCCAAAACCAAGAGCCAGATGCAGCTCTCGCCAGGACTTTGGCAGTTGTAGACGTTATAGCCCTCGACTCTGTATCTGAACGAGGTGCCGCTTCTTTCGGCGTATCCTTCCCATCTGTATCTGCGACCTGATCAGTGTCAGGTTGGATAGTGCCAGCATCTAGGCCCTTCGTTTGCGCATCTGGCTCTTCTGAAGGTGTCGGTCCAGGAAGTGGCGTGGTGGAGGCTTCGTCAACGCTTGAGTGTGCCTCGCTTTTGACTTTGGCTGGGTCTGCGTATCCGTCGGGGCGTGACCACCAAGATTTCCATCCCCATGCACTAGCAGCTGCATCCACTTGTGATTTGGGCGGTTCGGGAGGTAATGGCGGTTCGGAGACTTGGGACGCGGGTGTTTCTTCGACGTCTTGTGGCTGTGGCTTTGGCTTTGGCTTTGTAGTTTCGTCGAGGAGACCGTCTGAGGATACGTTCACCTGGGTGATGGAGGCGGGTATGGCATCGCCCTTGCTCGACTTGCGCTTGGTGAGGAACTTCTTGGGCGACTCGTCTCTCGACTTCTTCGCTTCTTCATCGGGGAGTTCGCCTGTCGCGCCCCCGCTGACTCCGATGCTTTCCTTCGCGGTCTGGACTATGGCAGGCGCTTTCGACCGCCAACTGCCCGTGCCCGAAAGCCACCTCTTGCCTCGCGGTGTCTGTGTCCCGGAGGCGGTCGGTGTTGTGGCGCCAACTGAAGACGTTGACGCTGCTACCGACTGGTCCGAGGGTGCATCTGGTAGGATGTCACTACTGCTGGGAGTAGTGTCGGTCGTACTTGCATCCTGTGGGACTGCTGGGGCCTTGGTGGATGCGTCGGAGGAAGCCTCGGGGTTTGGCTTGGACTTCTTGCGTGGGTTCATTCCGGCAGGGAGGGTGAAGGAGCTGAGAAGGCGATGCGACCGCTGGAGCAAGCATCAGCACGGGCAAGACACGTGAAGTTGGCAGCATACCTTCATCCCGAGGTGGACCAGGCGCGTCGGTGCGGCTGCAATGACGCATGTGGGCCCATCCCGTGCACTAGTTGCGGATTAGCGTACCCTGATAGCGTGGATTCTGCCACCGCCTAGCGATATTGTCGGGCTTCCCAAATTTTGTAGCGCGAACTTTTGCCCGCCGTACCACGACGCCGAACCGCAGCCATGGCGATCCAAAAGAAGGTGCGCAAGTACGATATTGATACACGCGATAGTGACTAATATTCAAAAGCACGGAAAAGGTCGTCTCGACAAATGGTACAAGCTCGCCAAGGAGAAGGGCTATCGTGCGCGTGCCGCCTTCAAGTTGATCCAGCTGAACAAGAAGTACAACTTCCTCGAGAAGAGCAAAGTCTTGATTGATCTTTGCGCTGCGCCCGGATCATGGTGTCAGGTCGCTTCCGAGGTATATGGCTATCTTACGCACCATGCGCCTACATGCTAAAACCCACAGGTTATGCCCGCGCATTCCCTCATCGTCGGTGTCGATCTCGCCCCAATCAAGCCCATCCCGCGATGCATCACCTTCCAGAGCGACATTACCACGGACAAGTGCCGGGCGACTCTGCGCCAACATCTTAAGCATCTCAAGTGCGATACTGTCCTCCACGATGGTGCGCCCAACGTCGGAACTGCCTGGGTGCAGGATGCCTTCACACAAGCAGAGCTCGTTCTACAATCCATGAAGCTGGCTACAGAGTTCTTGGTCGAAGGAGGAACCTTCGTCACCAAGATCTTCAGATCCAAGGACTACAACTCGCTCCTCTGGGTGTTTAACCAGCTATTCACCAAGGTCGAAGCAACCAAGCCACCGTCCTCCCGAAACGTCTCCGCCGAAATTTTCGTCGTCTGCCGCGGTTACAAAGCCCCAAAGCACCTCGATCCTAAGTTCCTCGACGCCCGCAGTGTCTTCGCCGAACTCTCAGACCCCACACCGAACAACGAAGCCAAGGTTTTCAAGCCTGAAGTCAAGAAGAGGAAGCGTGAGGGTTACGAGGAGGGCGACTGGACACAGTTCAAGGAGGTGCCTGTCTCTGACTTCATCCAAACGACTGATCCCATCGCTATGCTGGGAGGCTTGAACAAGCTCAGCTTCGAACAGAAGCCAAACGGCGACATCGCTGTCGCGACCATCGACAAGCTCCCGGAAACAACAAAGGAAATCAGGGACTGCTGTGCCGATCTGAAGGTCTTGGGTCGGGCTGACTTCAAGCGCCTTCTGCGTTGGCGTCTGAGGGTGCGCGAGATCTTTGGTTTCGCAACCAAGAAGACTAAGGCTCAAGAAGAAGCCAAGGCCAAAGAAGCGCAAGAAGGCGATGAAGTCGCTGAGATCGAGTCAATGGACGAGGAGATGCAGATTCAAGAGGAGTTGGAGCGACTGAAGGAGAAAGACTCCAAGTCGAGAAAGAAGCAGCGCCGAGCTGAGAACGAGCGGAAGCAAAAGGAGATTACTCGTCTACAGATGAACATGGCTACACCCTTTGAGATCGGTCTGGAACAGGCCGGACCAACTGGCGAGGATTCCATGTTCGCCCTCAAGGCAGTCGACAAGGCCGGTGCTCTGAACAGGATCGCCAAGGGTAAGATGGCGCAAGTCATTGAACGCGAACAGCCAGAGGAAGAAGAGGAGGAACCGGAGACTGACGACGAAGAGGATCGTCTTGAACGAGACCTTGACAACATGTACGGGGAATACGTTGAGCAGAGATCGGCGCGAGACGCCAAGTACAGAGCAAAGCGTGCGAGGAAACAGGACGACGATGGAGAGTGGAATGGTTTCTCTGACGGAGAAAAGGAACAAAGTGACGACGAAGAGCTTGTACAGTCCGAGAGCGATTGGAGCGATGACGAGGAGGAAGGCCCTAAGAACCTCATCACCGACCTCGACAACGAAGAGCAGCCTAAAACAGGTCTCACCAAGCGCGCAGCACGATTCTTCGACCAGGACATCTTCAAGGGCATTGATGGACTCGAGGATCTGGAAGAGGAAGACGACGACAGTGGTATCGATGTTGAAGGTGACACCGAGATGAAGGACGAATCTGCCACACCCGCGCCAGCTACTGAGAAGGAACTGAGCATAAGAACGGCTACCAAGGCTGCCTCACCCTCAGCATTCGACGAGGAATCCTCGGATGATGACGACAAGATCGAAGAAGTCAAGCGCGACGAAGACCAATGGGAGCAGGACAGCATGCCCATGAAGAACGGCAGGCCCGACATCGACATCATCACCGCCGAGGCCATGACCCTCGCTCACCAGATGGCCACAGGCCAGAAAACAAAGTACGATCTCCTCGACGAATCCTTCAACCGCTACTCCCTCCGCGACGTCGACGGCCTACCAGACTGGTTCCTCGACGACGAAAACAAGCACTCCAAACTCCAGCGTCCCACCACCGCCGCCGCAGCCTCCGCCATCAAGGAAAAACTTCGCGCCCTGAACGCGCGACCCATCAAGAAGGTCCGCGAAGCGCAAGCCCGCAAGAAATTTAAGGCCGCCCAGCGCATGGAGAAGCTCAAGAAGAAGTCTGCACTCCTCGCAGACGAGGAGGGTATGACGGAGAAGGAAAAGGCACAGAGTATTGCGCGCTTGATGTCGAGAGCTGCCAAGAAGAAGCCCAAGCAGAAGGTCAGTGTTATCGTGGCTAGGGGTGGTAACAAGGGTATCAAGACTAGGCCCAAGGGTACGAAGGGTAAGTATAAGATGGTGGATGCTAGGTTGAAGAAGGATGTGAGGGGTGAGAAGAGGGCGGCTAAGAGGAATAAGAAGAGGTGAAGTGGTGCGTGTGTATGAATTGTTAGGTTTGCATCAAAGGGGCTTTTCTTATTACCGCAATGAAGAAATGGCATGGACTGTTGTGTCCTGTCGATATGGTGCTACGTATGGCGTGATGACTACCGGGAAAGCCACTTCTCCAAGTATTCGATCAGGGAGACGCTCTTGGACATCAAAAGCATGCTCATTGAATCACCTGAACAAAAACCCTTCTCGGTGTGCCTTAGCAGCAGAAGAACCCATTTCATTTCAGTTCTTTTTAGGACTCGACATCCATGCTATCTGTGAAGCCTAATATGCTTCCTCCTCACGCATCGACGACCTCCTTCATAACAGCCTGATCGCCCTTCTCATCACCCCTACCATGCATCTTCCTCGCCACCTCATCCGTAAGATACTGCTCCACATTCGGCGACAGCACCGCCGCAACGATAAGCAGCACGCCAAACGGAAGTGTGCAGAGATACACCGTGCGGAACGAAAGCGCATACGCGCTCTTCACGGCCTGTCCTGTTGCCGCGATAATCTCAGGCGAGATACCAGGTACAGCACTGAAGTCACCTGCCGTGATACTAGAGAACAGTGCCGGAAGAGACGTTTCAGGAAGACCGGCAGCGAGCGCAGCAGGCATGACTTTTTGCGGGATATACTTTGCGGACTCGGTAGCGAGGATGGAGGAGTACATGCTCGTAGCAATGGCTGAGAGGCCCGTTCGGATAGCGCCCATGACACCAGTGACCAGACCGATGTCAGCGGGGTCCCAGAGGTAGGCTGTGCTGGACAAGGTGAGGTTCTCGATGTAGCCTGCGGCGATGGTGCCGATTAGGAGCAGGGCGGTTGTGCGTTGTTCTGTTGTTTCGTCCGAGGCGGCGACTGCGGCAACGAAAGCGGTGGTCATGACGGCTGCGACGGTCATTTGGATCTTCATGCGTGGGAGGTAGCGGACACCAGCGCCTCCGAGGATCTGGCCGAGGAGAAGTCCTCCACCGACGGCGCACTGTGTTTGTTAGAACAAGATTATCAGGATGGTATGATTGTTGGTCGACTTACCGAGAGCCATCCAATCTTGGTGATGTCTGTGGTAAAGAGCGAGGAGACCATCGTCGGCCAAATGATCGAGTTTGCGTAGTAGACAATGGCTGCCAGACTAGCACAAGCGACATTGGCATCGTACTCGATGTTCCTGAACAGGCGTAGAGGAATGAGGGGATATTCCAGTCCTGGGGCGTAGGCTTCCCAGAAACAGAAAGCGACTAGAGTGGCAAAGCCAGCAAACAGTGCTCCCAGTACGTGCCCGCTCTTCCATGGGTATGCGGAGCCGCCCCAGTTCATACCAATGAGGAAGACGACGAGGCCAGTTGAGAACAAGAAGATACCCATCCAGTCAAGGGTTTTGAGTTGTTTGAGTTTCGATTTGCCGCCAACGTGAAGCATTTCCTGCACTTGTTAGTCGGTTTTGTGTTGGCTGAAGTGGATGCTCCTTACGTATGTGGGTGGGAAGTAGAAGAAGAAGTAGAGAACGATTGCTAGCACGTTGACAATGCATCCGAGAATATAGCACCACCTCCATTGCAGCTCGGTAGTCTGATAGAGTGATCGTGCTACTGGCGGACCAAACACGGCGAACGGCACTGATGTCGATAGCACGAAAGCATTAACAGGACCTCTCAGCGAGTTTGGAACGAGTTCGCCGAGAATGATGTGGAACGAAAGTTGGCCGGCTGCAGCAAGACCGTTGATGGAGTTTGTTGCCTAGAAAAGTCAGTATCATGCGTAGGCTGTAGTCGGTCGAACATACAATCAGCATGTTAATGCTCTGTGCACTTGCTCCAATGATGTTTCCGATGAGACCGAGTATTGACGAGCATATGAAGAACCATCTACGACCGAAGATATCCGACAGGCGACCGACGAGTGTGAAGCCGATGGCGAATCCAGCTGTCCAGGATATACCGACCCAGATGATGTCCGGTGACGGTCCGATCGCCGCGTTGATGAGACTCAGCGTGTTCGCTGGAAGTACCCATCCCAGGTAACTGGAAACTTTAGTACTTTCTCCTCCGGTAGTTGATGCAAGGACATACCCAGAAATCTGCGCTAGGCATGTAGCCACAACAGTGCCGATGAAGTTGATGCTTGTGAAGTATGACTTGCCCAGATCGGCGGTATGGCCACCAAGGGCTTCTTGAGCGACATGGTCATGGTGAAGGCCATGGCTGCTGGCAGTATGCTGATGAGTGAGGCTCTCGTTGGTGGTGGTGACTTCTTCGCGGTATTGCTTCTCTTCCGCCATGATGGATTGATGTTGTCTTGACTTTGACTGCCTCTGTGGAAGTGTGCGTAAGAAACGCAGAGGCTAGATTTGTGCAACCACAATGGGCTCTGGGTTATCTTTATCATGCACAAATGGCTCACGAATCATGGGTGAGAATCTGGGGTACCCCAGAATTAGGTGGAGATTTACCTGCCCAGGTGGTGAAGGCAGGTTCCAGATAGCCGGGGGCACTGTCATGTCAGCGCCACGTTTTGGAAATCCGGAGTAATGATCTACTTTGTCTACATAAGGTCAAGTTCTCGTACAATGACTGGTATATCGAACGTCTTCGTAGGGCCAGAATGTTACGCGCAAGCTAATTCCACGTGCTCTGGCGTCAAGCTGCGGAAGCCCCGGAGTCGGGGGTGTTCGGTAGAGGCTGAATGTTGGGATCTCGAGGAGGCTGATGGGGCAGTATCCGGATGACGGTAACCGGGAGTCCCGTGAACTTGTTGCCTTGGTGAAGGGAACTTGTGGATCCCTGCAGACAGCCAGTCATGGATACTACGACATATACAACACGTTGAAACTCAGCAGATTTCTGTATGCATCGACTAGATAATCTTCGCTGTACAAAGACGTGTCCCCAATCCGTGGCTGCAGGATCGTCGAATGCTCGAAGGGCGATCGTCTAACGTTTCCCGTGCTGCAGTAGTCTGTTCGGTCTTCTTTTGACAGTCGTTAACCGGGTTACGCTGCTGATCTAGCGGGACATGCATGCGGGGTCTGGACTCGTGCGGTGTCCTTCCAGCTGCGATAGAGGCTCGAGCCAGATCAAGCCACTCGAACGTCTCACGTTAGTCCGTAGCATAGTCGATGCCGGCAGAGTGGATGGTGGAATACTCGTGACGAGAGCTCTGACGGTGTCTTATTGACATGCACCTCGATACGGAGCTATTCGTTGGCGCACTGAGCAGGTCTGGGATGGGCGACGCGACGAGGACGTAGGTTCGGTGTGACATTCCCCGCATTTGCGTCCCGTGGGGAAATTGGAAGGCTGGGAAGGATGTCGCCGAACCTATGATAGCCCGTGGCAGGCGTAGCTGCAATCATTTACGAGGTGCATGCTATCCGAATCGCTTTGATGCAGTCATCAAGAACAAGGGATTCCCAAAGTGAACCTGAGATGGTGGGTGACCTGGAGCGGGTACTTGCGCCACAGAAACGTGATTGGGCGTGGTTCGCCGCGGTCTCCACTCAAAACTTTTGGTGATTCACATGTCGCGACTTGAACGCACTCGCAACTTCTCGTGATACTCGCATGCCCGACCGATAGCACCACTTTCGTCCAATATCGCATACCATGGCTTCAGCAGTAGCGCCGTCGCCCGCGCCAAAGGAGGAGCCTGCCAAAACCTCCGCGACCGAAGTCATCAGCCCCGCCGATGCTCTGTACGACAAATGCGCCCAACGGCCTGCGGGCCAGATCTTCTTCCAGCGCGACCTCTCCAATATGCAGGTCGCAGACACTGTGGCTCAGCTAATAGTGCTGCTGCAAGAGCTATGTGACCGCCATTTGTTGAAGCTCATGAGCCTCGAGGGCGAAATGTGCTGGAAACTGAGGACAAGGGAAGAAGCCGACAAGTAGGTCTAGACTCTCGCGGACATGGCATCTTGAACTCTTCTGACAGACATTCCTTCTCAGATTGCGACGCCTTACACCTGACGAACGCCTCCTCTACTCCCACATCGACTCAGTACAAGCCGACGGCATCTGGTCCAAATCCCTCCGAGCCAAAACGAACGTCACGCAACAGACCCTCACAAAATGTCTCAAGAGCTTGGAGTCGAAAGATTTGGTGCAGTCAGTCATGAGTGTCAAGTTTCCCAACCGGAAGATGTACCTCTTGAAGCACTTGAAACCATCAGAAGACATTGCAGGTGGTCCATGGCAGTCAGAGGGTGACTTCGACATGGCGCTGATTGAAACGATATCGGGCATCGTCGCTCAGCATGTGGAGAACGAAACCTGCATCAAGGTGCCTGGCAATTGGAACGACTACGAGATAACAGGCGACAGAACAGCTGCTATCGCTCAGAAGAAGGCGGAGGTCCTGGGCGCCGTGCGAGACATAGAGGAAGCGCCAGCCGTGAAGCCCTACAACCCCGCAAAGGACCCAAACACGTCCAAGCTCGTTCACCGACACAACCCGCAATACCCGACAGCGGCCTCTGTGGCCAACTGGCTCAACTCGAAGGAGGTTCTGCGCGGTAAGACCGTACGGGAGGACGATATGGAGCAACTCTTGGAGATGATGGTTCTTGATGACCGGCTTGAGAAGATCTCTGGCACAAACTACCGCACCGTCTTACGCGCCACCGACACCAAGGTCTACAACGGCTTTGTGGATGCACCGTGTGGGAACTGCCCTGTTTTCGATCTTTGCGGAAACGAGGGTGAGATCTCAGCAAGGACATGCGTTTACTTTGGTCAGTGGCTGGAGACCTCATCCGAGGAAATTTAGACGCTTCGAGATGCATCAGGCTATCAGAGTCTCAAACGGGAGGCTCAAATGGTCAAAGGAAATCACGAGGAGTTTCAATCAATTAGCATAGCGCGGAGTTTGGGCTGTCAGCATTTACAAGGAAGATTGAAAAGGTATACCCATCATATTCAAATATATTCTCATGATCAATCTCGCTCAGCCTTTCCATAGAAGAATTGTGCGGTTGCAGTACCTTTGCTGTATCTCGCAAGCATGCGCGGGGCCGTTAAGGTTCTGGCATTGAAATGCTCCGCTAGCCTGTGGCATAAAGTCTCCGAACTCACAATATTCGCTCTCGGAGACATACATGAGCAAATCATCCATCGACTGTGGAGACTTATTTTTCACACGCCCGATCTTATATGCTCACTGACATTGTCCCCGATTAGATAGGCTTGCAATGTAATGCTGCCGGGCGATGCTCAAGCATTGTATATATGAGAGATGTCGGCCGTCATGTTAATCGCATCACACACATAGCACACCAAATCAACCCCATCCACTATTTGTGTATCCTACTCATACAAGTTGTCCCCTTCTACCTCTCGATACACAATGGCAAGTTTCCTCGACGCCGAAGCCGCGCAAAAGTACAAGAATGCCGAGAAAGCTACTCGCCCTTATGTCAAAACCATCGTCGAACAGTCCGGGATAGCTGCACATCTCGAATCGGGGGCTGAAGCCAACATTCTCGATTTCGCATGTGGAACGGGAGTTGTTGCGCAGGAGATCTACGACACGGTACCGAAGGAGAGGTGGGGACAGCTGAAAGTGCTAGGCGCTGACATCAGTCCGCCGATGTTGGAATATTTGAGGGCGCGAGGAGAGACGCAGGGATGGAAGGGATTGGATACGAAGGTCGTGGATGGGAATGTGAGTTTCGTGTCTACGGATGCCCATGCACCGGTTCGATACTAATACTTTCTTCCAGACAGACATAACACAAGCTCTCCCCAAGGCATCATACACACACATATTCGTCTCCTTCGCTATTTTCATGCTCCCGGCACAGACACTCACGCATCTCTGTTCACTGCTGCGACCAGGCGGATACATAGCAGTAGCGACGTGGTCGAGCATATCGTGGGATAAGCTCCTTACTCGTAGCATCGCTCTCATGGACGCGCCACAGCCCTACTCGCCATCGCGCGAGGAACTGCGAGAGACGTTCTGTGGACTTTGGGCTGAGGAGTCATACTTGGCACAGCAGTTTGAAGCGGCAAGCTTAGAGAAAGTAGAAACATGCGGTCAGAAGGAAGCTGTACACGTTGGAAAGCCAGATGTTTTCATGGGGAGTATGCAGTTTCCGCTGCATTATGTAAGGAATACATGGTGGCAGAGTGAGCGAGAGGGTCTCGTGGAGGAGCTAAATGGTGCTATGAAAGGTCTCGTACAGCGGGAGGTTGGGGAGGATGGCGAAGTGGAACTGGTGTTTGATGGTGTTGTTGGGTGGGGGTGGAAGAGTGGTTAAGGGTCCATCTAGCTGTGCAGCAATACATACCTAGGTACTTTCCATGTATGCATCTGTAAACAAATCCATCTTCTTTACCTAGCTACTTTCACAAAGTTTCTTGACACCAAGGATTCTATCAGAGTCCCAACAGCGGTCATGCCTCACTTTCAGATGATGCTATTCCTAGCGTGGAGGCGCACGTCCCCGCAAGTGTTCCACCCCAATGTCGATCAGCCGGCGCGACATCTCGTGGCCTCCCGAGTGAGTGACCGACGATAGATTGACTCCACACCCAGCGCCATGTCCCCTTGAGATACCCCGACACTCCTTTGGTCCACCTACAACCTCCAAATCGCCCATTAGAGCGTCTACCACATTACACCCGCGACGATGTCTGGCGCTCGCCCACTGCTCTCCGCACGCGCGTCCTCGGACATCAGCGGAGAGCGCGACATAGCAGAAGATGAAGCTCTGCTCACAGGCCGCCCAACAGCACACACGGAGAAGGACGGGCCGCGATCATGGAAGTTCTGGAGAGAAATAGGGCTATTTGTCTGGGCTGTCATTGCAACAGCGGCCGTCATCGTGCTCGCAGTCATCTTCCAGAAGGCCGGTTCCGACTCCAAGGCTTCACATGCGAACGGGAAGAGGAACTTGATCTTCATGGTGTCTGATGGCATGGGCCCTACCTCGCTGTCGCTCACGAGATCGTTCATGCAGTTCCAGAACGGCGCACCCTGGAGTGAGCAGCTCGTTATCGATCAACACCTTATCGGACAGTCGCGAACACGGTCCTCTTCCTCCCTCATTACCGACTCGGCGGCCGGCGCGACTGCATTCTCGTGCGCACAGAAAAGCTACAATGGTGCCATCTCCGTAACACCCGACCACGAGCCATGCGGCACAGTGCTGGAAGCGGCCAAGAAGGCAGGATACATGACTGGCCTCGTTGTGACCACGAGGATCACGGATGCGACACCGGCATGCTTCGCGGCTCACGTCAACATGAGATCGGAAGAGGACCGTATTGCAGAACAAATGGTCGGAGACTACCCGCTCGGGCGCGTCGTGGACTTGATGTTTGGAGGCGGACGATGCCATTTCCTGCCCAACTCAACGGTCGACTCAAGCTGCCGCGCCGATGACAAGGACATCGTGAAGCTGGCGCAGAAGAACGGTTACAAATACGTCGACGACCGCGCCGGCTTTGACATGTTGAAAACAGGAGCGGGCCTAGATCTGCCCATCTTGGGACTTTATGCCGACACAGATATTCCCTACGAGATTGACCGCCGCAACGAGAACGACATCTACCCTAGCCTGCACGAGATGGCCGAGGTTGCCATGAAAGCGCTCAGCGATGCGACCAGGGACAGCGACAAGGGCTTCTTCCTCATGATTGAAGGATCAAGGATCGACCACGCAGGCCACCACAACGACCCTGCTGCTCAGGTACACGAGGTGCTCGCATACGACAGGACCTTTACCAGCGTACTGGACTTTATCAAGAACGAGAAGACAGAGACAGTCATGGTCTCCACCTCAGACCACGAGACAGGTGGTCTAGCTGTTGCCCGCCGTAGGTTCTTCCTACCCCTACTGCAGTAACCCTCACTAACAGCCCCCAGAACTCCACGCATCCTACCCCGAATACCTCTGGTACCCCTCCCCCCTCGCAAACGCCTCCCACTCCGCCGAGCGCCTCGCCCTCGAATACACAAAGTACCTCCTCGCCGGCCCATCCGACGAGGACAAGGCCAACTTTGTGCGAAGCTCCATCACATCCGGTTTGGGCATCTACGACTACACCGACAAGGAAGTCGCTGATCTCGTTGCCGAGCCTATTACTTCCTTATACCAATACGCAGACATGGTCTCCCGCCGCTCACAAACCGGGTGGTCGACCCACGGCCACAGCGGCGCAGATGTCAATATCTACTCCTCGGACCCTGAGGCTGCCAAGGCGCTGGTGGGTAACCACGAGAATACTGAGGTTGGAGACTTCTTGAGGGATTATCTGGATGTAGATGTTGAGGCTGTTACTAAGGAGCTTAGGGAGAAGGGCACGGGGTTGAAGGTGCTGGATGTGAATGGTACGGAGGTTAGTTGGATGGGCAAGATCCCTGAGGAGGGGCAGAGGCTGGATGGACAGACGCATCTCGCAAGCTATGGAGGTGACCACAAGAAGAGAGGTGATGGTGGTGTTGTTCATGGTGAGGAGTGTGGCTGTGGACATTGATTCTGACGTTGTTTGGCATGCTTTGGCGTTTTGGGTGCAGAAGAGATACCGGTTGATATAGACTATTTAGCTTTCAGCGTCAAGTTACAGTTCAATTTCAGCTACATCTGACAGCATTCAAGCTGACAAGGGTTTTAGGGTCTTCATCATCGCTATCCAAAAGAGGAGATTCAGCTACTTTCTTTACACACACCCAGCCCGGGAATGTACCGTAATGCAGCACCACCAATCAAGCCAAGCACTCGAAGAACCCCTCAGACTGCCAGCCCCACCTACTCCCAGTACTCTCCTTCCTCCTGTCACTACTCGCATCATTCTTCTCTTTCCTCGTTCTCCTTCTCTGCGTTATACCAACACCCATCTCCTCCCGACCAAGTGTACCTTCCCTCCTCTCGCCACTTTCTGCGCCAGCTTGGGTGCCACTCTGCGTTCCTGATCTGACGCTCCTCCTCAGCGAAGTCCTCGACCGTATGTCCACATCTCTAGGCGGATACTGCCAATCTGCCATACCAATCTCCGCCCCAGCATTCATATCTTTTCTCTCCCTCAGTTTGCTCTTCCACTTCCCTATTCTCCCATTCTTCAGCCTCCGTATCGACCCCTCACCTACACCGCCCCAAAACCTACACACTAGTGCACATACATGCCATAGAGCCAGAAACATCGCGCCCGTCGCTGATATGCCACCTGCACTGTGAATAGCCCAGTTGACGCGATTACAGCGGGCTTGGAACGAAAGTCCCTCTTCAAGAAAGATGAAATGCCACTTAGGGTAGTGGAATCTGCCGATGCAGAAAGCGAGGCCAGGCTTGATGTTGGATACGTAGACGTAGATGTGTGAGGCGAGTGTCAAGAACACGATTATGTCCCAGAGGCTGAGGAGGAGATTGTGGGCTAGGGGCTTGTAGGCCGGGTGGAGGAAGGGGTGGTATGTGTGCTGGCTCAGGGATCGCGGAGACGACGACGGTGGGTTGTCTGAGTCGCTTTTACAGTGTGATGATGTGGGACTGCGGAGTGTAGAGTTTTGATTTGATGGCTGACGTTCGATATCGTGTGCGGGTCTTTGCGAGCGTTCTTCTTCGTGTTCTCCCTCTCTTCCTTTGAGACGTCCCAATTGCTGATTCCACCATGTGGAAAAGCGCTGCCGTAACCTTTTCAGCCATGCTTTCGTAGCTCTCCGCCTTTTACCCACATCTCTCTCCCTCCGTACCGGATGAAATTTATCCGCATACCACCCAATGCACAACGATGCATGCAACGCATCTAGCGGTGCCTATAGCACGTCAATATCCGCAACTGACGCTTGCCATCATTTCTGCTTGTCCCGTCTCGCCCCCCTTGTACTCCCTCCTTGTATTATACTCTCGCTCCGCGAACTCACAAACAGATACACAAAGACCCAGCTAAACAGCTTCGTCCCCTCGAAGAACATTCGCATGAGTTGCTTCTTCGATTCCGGCGGCATTTCATAGCTTTCGACCGCCTCAGCAGCAGCCGTATGCGAGATGAGTTGCATGGGGAGCAAGATCGCGGTGCTGAGCATGAGTATGTGGATGACAATGTGGGCTTCGATGACGCGAGGGCGGCGATCGTTGGGTAGAGAAGCGAGGGAAAACGGCGTGGACGAGACGGAGGCCATGGCGATATGGGGTGGTGAGAGCTACGTCAGTCTCTGCTGGGGTGATGTGTCGAGGCGTTGCGCTTTTCTGGCAACGCTCATGCAAGCGCTTGTTCGTGACTGCGGCCGAAGGCTGGGAACGAAGTGATTTGAAGAGGCTGCGGCAGGAGCAACCATGTTATCATCCAAAGTCCACCAAAAGGTACACATAGACTTTGGTGGTATGCTTCGTATGTAGATTGGTTGAACACTGACGCGTGCTGTACAGCAAGTAGGAACGGTAGGACAGCGAAAAAGTACGAAGTTGGAGCGATGGACAAGGAAGAGGCAGGCATGCCGGCTAGCTGCCAAGTATCAACAGCGACGTCGCTCCTGCCGTGAGTAGCTATCGCCTGCTCGCTATACCATGCCAGCTCAGATATGAGCTAGTGGCATGGCATGGCAGGAAGCGGCGAAGAAGGCAGGTGCGACTACCTAGGTAGTAAGAACAATTCCAAAATCATCTACTTGGAAAATGTATTCTGTCGAGAAGTATACGGTAGTGGATTCGTATTAGGGTAAGAGAATAAAGATCAGTTTTGTTGATATATGCCTACTAGGCAAACCCCACCTCGCAGGTATACATGATGTTGGAGGTACACATGAGATTAAACATGATGATTCGACGAAGTCAAAAGTGATGTATGCCTCAAGAGTCTATGTTGTAAACACATCTCCCAAAATAAGTTAGTGTTCATACCGATAGATTTCCCTTCAATACTGAACTACTATCCCACCATACCAAATATCAAGCGACCATCACCAGTTAGGCGTACTTTCCTCTCCCGACAACTCCAAACTCCACGCTAATACAAGGGCAAATCGCTCGCTGGGCAAGAAAACAGATCTCCACCAGCCAGACGAGTGAAAGTAGACAAATCAGAGGAAGTCAATCTCATCCTGCTGAGCAAGATCATGTGGACCGGCTACACTCCAAACTCGTTACCAAATTGGCCACTGCCGTACGACGTCGTCCAATCAGGCTGAGTGTCCAATAACCAAGAGACCGAATCGAACATCTCGAAGCTGTTCGCACTAGCCATACCATTGGGCATTTGCAGTGGCATACTAAGCGTGTTGATGTGTGGGTTGAAATTGGGCAAGGTATGAGCCGGGTTTTCCACGGCGCCAGGCGGTGGTGTGGAATTACTGGAGGAGTCCGGATTCGTGGGGTTTGTCATGACCGTATTTTCGAGCTGTTCTGCAGCTCCACTAACCTGCGCTTCTCGCCAGCGGAACGCGCAATCGAAGACTACACTCATGCTCATCCGACTACGGATGATTAGACCGAGTGGGTCATCTAGCATTCCAGTGCTTGGTCGCCTCTGGTTCTGCTGCTGTTGATGCTGTTGCTGATTGTGCTGATTGAACATGGTGCTCATGCCTGAGTTACTGAGAGATGGCGACTGTGAGAGGCTGTGGAGGCTGCGGCCGCGAGAGCTCTCTTTCCATAACTGCGCTAGGACCTCGGCGAATCGATCCAAGAGATCGTTAGACCACACTTTGGATTTCCTCAGCGCATCCACAGTTTGTAGAACGAATTGTCGACCTTTGTTCGCGGGAAGTTTGCTGGCAAAGTCCGAGTTGAGGAGTTTGAGCAGAGCAAACCCGGCTGCAAGAGCCATCTGCATGACGTAGTAAGGAACGTAAGGCAGCCTGCCCTCGTGTTGTATTTTGAAGACACGCTCCAGATAGGCCGTCGCAGCGAAGTACAGCGCGACAAGGTCGTCCCGCCGTTCGAGCCGTATCTCCGGGCTGAAGAATGAGTACAGATGGAGATGCAAGGAGACGGCGTAGTGGTATAGTTCTTCCAGGCCTGTTTGAAGTTAGAGCAGTCACCATGAATGAGGGTGTCATATATACCGCTGTCCACCCCGTCAAGGGAGCTGTTTTCTTCCTTCACGCGCTCTTCCTTGAGACGATCTGCTTCCAGACTCATGTAGCTTGTGGCGGCGCCTTCGGCGAAGCGATGGCTGTTGGCGGAGTATAGGAGCTTATTGATCCTGCTCGCTGCCATTTCCTGGCGAAGGCGGACAAACAGTGTGGGTGGTATAATGCGCATGTGCTCTTCGTCGTCTACTTTGAAGTCGAGTGTCGAATCGTAAAGGGTTATCGAAGGCTGTCCGTTTCCTGTTGACACACTGCAATACGTTAGCTTTGGCAGCATGCTTTCGATGGTACAAACTCACGTTTGCGCAACAATGTTGCAGACGGCCCATGTCCTCAGCCGATCGTGTATATCCTCCCGTCGCAGCTGCATCTTCGTTCTAGAAAAGTCATCTGGGTGCGTCGGCTGATGCAGGCCAATCTGCATGGCAACCTGCATCATGGCGCCGCACAGGATGAAAGTTGGGTCGGTCACTGTCCGCTCCGCTGGAAGTGGCCAGGTGCAGAGTAGACACAACGCCTTGACTACATGATGGTTCGGTTGATTGCGAATGGAGTCCCAGATGAGATCGCTGAGCGGCTTGGAGAGATCCTTCAGCAGAACTGGCCGTGGCCCATAGCGGCGTGCGGCAACCGCGATAATGGCCCAGAACAGCAGCTTGTGGTCCTGCGAGTAGTATTCCTCGGGAGAGCGCACTTGATCTAGGAATGGCAGGAATGGGTGGTATAGCTGGAAGTATTCGGCGAACAGCTCGTTGACCTCGCTGTGGCCCAGTCGCACTTCGCCGGCACCCAGCGAGAAGAACATGGGCGATCCGCTGCGCAAGTCGAGCAGAGACGTTGCCGCCACTTGTGTATGTTGTGTCTGTAGGAAGGCGTCGTCCTCCATCTTTGGGACTGGGCCGGGGGTGAACGTGTGGTTGTCTGACGTCTGCTGCGGAGCATTCAGGACAGGCTGGTTCGGCGTAGACTGGCCCTCGTACATGGCGAGTCGCTCTCGCAAGTACTCCATCTCCTTCTCCATCTCGGCATTTCTATTACGCTTGCCGACACGCTTGAAGTTGGGCTCGATCACGCATCGCAGGTTCTGTTTCTGACATCGCGCACAGCTGACGAAGGGATCTTGCTGGACGTTACACTTGAGCTGCAATGGCACTGTTAGCGGGGTTATGAAACATTGACATCTGACAGCAGGTCGTCGGTGGTGGCAGGGCGTATACAGGCGCAGAGTATCGTGAACAGTCACACGCATTAATCCCAGTGGTGCGCACGCGGGCGCCCAGGCTTGGGGTTGAGGTTCTCCATGGGCGCATGGACGGCACATAGAGAAAAAGAACTTACCTTCTGCTGGCGACACTCGTTGCAGGCGCGCTTCACCGCGGTATTGCGCCGCGACGACGACGAGGGCCGCGTATCGCCGTCGCCATTCTCATCATCGTCGCTGGATGCCGAGCGCTTGAATCCTCTGGTGTGGGTGCTGTTGGGGCTCTGGAACGGATGCGGCAGGCCATTTAGTCCGGGCGTCGTTGGTGACATGGAATGCAGCATATTGCTCGACATATGCGACCGATATCGCAGGGAATTTAGGTTGTGAGGGTAGGTAGAAGTGGGGGTCCAGCTGAGGGAGTCCGAGGCCGCAAGCGCGTGCGAAACTTGACCGGCTGCCAGGCCACGACTCTGACTCCAATGCCGTGGGAGACTCACTCGATCATGCGCGCCTGACTGCTATCACAAGCTGCAAGCTCCTGCAGGAAGCCGCCGAACTGTGGACTCTCAGACGCGGGCGAGCTTGTCAGAATTGGTTCGGACTCTCCAATCATAGCCTGCGACCACCCATGCTGAATCGCGGCAAGCCTCGTTCTGGCAATCTCCACCGTAACTATCCGCGCCCTACACCTACGCGTTATGAACCGGTTTCTTGGACTTTTCGCGTCTTTGCCTGGGTAGTCCAGGAATAGCCCTGGTGCGCTGAACATTTCCATCTCGCATGTAGAAGGCCTTGAGAGCACGCAGAAGAGGAACTTTAGAATCTGGAGATCTCATTTATGCTTGCATTATTCTCATCGGACGTATTCAGCAGATGGGGAGTGCATATATAGCCACGATATGTGTTGAAGATATCAGAATAGGGACATTGTAGTTCCTTGAGTCGTTACTTTGATCTGTAATTGGATCCATATTACAAAAAGTCACATTCTTCCAGATTGTACCGACATAATGTCTGATCCGAAATGATTATCCTGAGAGTACGGGTGGTAGAGTGTAAGCTCAGGGCATGCTGTCACTATCATGACGCAGTTTTGCAGAGACATTCAAACAGGCCTGGGTTCAACATGTTGGTGTGAATTGTCGGCGTTGCGTTGGCTGCCGTTGAACCTCGCGTGCAGGTTAAGGGATTTCAGACATCCATACTAGAAAGTGGAATCTGAACAGCACTCAAGCCACCAAGTCCTCATCATAGCGTCACACCGGTTTGTCGGGAAACATAGCGTGTAGCTTGTGGATGTATTCGTGACCCTACTCAGCTACATCCTGGCGGAGTGACGTAGAAATCATCTTGATATCGTTAAAGCCGACCGAACCAGGAGACTGCCCATAATGCACATGAACACCGAAGACCCAGTTTTGACATGCTAAACCCCTTGACACTCAATGCAACCGCTTAACGCTTCTTTTGCTGGGACTCCTTGAGGACCTTCTTGACGACCTTCTGCTCCTCGATCAGGAAAGCACGGACGATGCGGTCCTGAACGCAGCCGGCGCATCGCGATCCACCGTAGGCGCGCTGGACGGTCTTCTTGGGGCGGGAGATCTGGGCGTACTCGCGGGGGCGGAGGGCTGGGATACCCTGGAGCTTGGTACCGCAGTCCTACAAACTGTCAACAACAAGCCTATACGTCCTTCCAGGTCTGACTTACACCGCACTTGGGGGCAGTACCCCTCTTCTTGATGTGCAGGTAACGGAGTTCACCACCGGGGGTCTTGATGACGCGGACCTTCTGGCTCCTGGTGTTGTAGGGCGCGCGACGCCTCTGCCCAATGTCAGTGTTTGCTTCCAACGATCCCAAGGTCCTCATTCGCCTGGTCCAGGGCTCGGGAGTGCGGTGCGACGTACGTAGGTGAGTCTGTTGGACGGCATTGTGAAAGATTTCCCGGGGAATCAGTGGGCGATTGTCTGTGTTCGTGTGAGCGAAATGATGTCGGAGGTGGTGTCGCAAAGGGCGATAATCGTACCTGGGTCTGGAAAGGGATTGTTAGTATCGTCGAAGAAATTCGCAGGACGGCGAGCTTGCTTACCACTGTTGTCGTCGTTGGTTAGTGAGGCAGCGAAAATCGTCGTGTGCTCGGTTAGCCGACCTGCGCTAGCACGCTAGACAAGGAAGCCCCGATCCACAATCACGTGACGCGCGCCCGTGCACGGAGGCCTGGCAAGAAGATTCACTAGACTAGTATGCGAACATCTCCATCGCCACTCCACACAACGCGCAGAGGGTGTATCTCTGCTTCGTGTGCCCCGCCAACTATTCGACTTTCGAGCTTCTGGAGACAGTCTGGAGATCCACGCGCCGACGCGACTTCCCCTTCTTCGACCGCGGCGCCGTCCGCAAAGCTCAGGATTCGACTCCTAAGCTTGTCGCGCGACCAACTGTGCTCAATCCACGAGTTCAGTGTAGCACTGTGATCGCGTTATAGAGGTTAGTAACTCCCTTTAACCCTTTATTCCGTAGGAGCCTCCCAGCTCCTACAATCTCGACACTCCATACGAGAGGCGCATAATTCCTCCAGTCTCGCGTTTTCATCCCCTCTAACGGCAACAGATTTCTTTCCCTAATTTCAGTCAACATGGCTTTTCCTCCACCGCCGCCACCGCCTCCACCAGGCCCTCCAGGTGCTGGATACGCGCCGCCACCACCACCGCCTCCGCCAGGTCCTCCGGGCTCCGGATATGCGCCGCCGCCGCCGCCTCCCCCAGGACCACCAGGTGCGCCTGGTACAGTAGGCCCTCCCGGCATGCGGCCACCTGTCGACCCGCAAGTTGCGAAGTTTGCACAAAAGAAGAAGGACTGGTTACGGCAACAGCGCCAAAGGTTCGGCGAGAAGCGCAAGGCAGGATTCGTTGAGACACAGAAGGCGGATCTGCCCCCGGAGCATCTGCGCAAGGTGTTTAGGGATATCGGCGATGTGTCCCAGAAGAAATTCACCACGGACAAGCGAAGTTATCTCGGTGCGCTCAAGTTCATGCCGCACGCGGTTCTGAAGCTTCTGGAGAACATGCCCATGCCTTGGGAGAGTAGACGAGACGTAAAAGTCCTCTACCACACCAACGGATGTTTAACCCTGGTCAACGAGGTCCCTCGTGTGATCGAGCCCGTCTTCCACGCACAATGGGCAGCCATGTGGCTGGCTATGAGGAAGGAGAAGAGCGACCGCCGACACTTCAAGCGTATGCGCTTCCCGCCTTTCGACGACGAAGAGCCGCCCCTGTCGTACTCGGAGAACATCGAAGACGTTGAGCCCCTGGAGCCTATTCAGCTGGAGCTGGACGAGGATGAAGATAGCCCTGTGTACGAGTGGTTCTACGAACACCGTGCACTTCTCGATACCCCACATGTCAACGGACCCAGCTACGAGACCTGGAACCTCGACCTGCCTCAGATGGCAACGCTATACCGTCTGAGCAAACAGCTTCTCAGCGATATTGTTGACAAGAACTACTTCCACATGTTTGACATGGACAGCTTCCAGACAGCCAAGGCACTCAATGTCGCGATACCCGGAGGACCCCGCTTCGAACCATTGTATAAGGACATCGACCCGAACGACGAGGATTTTGGCGAGTTCAACGCCATTGACCGCATCATCTTCCGATCACCTATCCGAACCGAGTACCGCGTTTCATACCCATACCTCTACAACTCTCTGCCGCGAAGTGTCAAGCTGGCTTGGTATTCTCACCCGCAGGTCGTGTACGTTCGTGCGGAGGATCCGGATTTGCCAGCCTTTTACTTCGATCCTGGAATTAACCCAATCTCTTCAAGAGCTGTCGCACCAAAGAACATCTCTGTAAGCCATGAGGATTTGGTCTTCGGTGAAGATGATGAGGACGATGAGGATGACTTCCAGATGCCCGAAGAGATGGAGCCGTTCATGGCCGACGAGGAGATCTCTACTCCAGAGACTGCTTCAGCCATCGCGCTTTGGTGGGCACCCCACCCATTCGACAAGCGATCAGGTCGTATGGTGCGGGCACAGGACGTTCCCCTCGTAAAGCAGTGGTACCTTGAGCACGTTCCTGCGGGTCAGCCCGTCAAGGTCCGGGTCTCTTACCAGAAGTTGCTGAAGACGTTTGTTTTGAACGAGCTCCACAAGAAGCCGCCACAAGCACAAAACAAGCAGAATTTGATGCGAACACTCAAGAGCACCAAATTCTTCCAACAGACCAAGATCGATTGGGTAGAGGCCGGTCTGCAGGTGTGCCGACAAGGTTACAACATGCTCAACCTTCTCATCCATCGCAAGAACTTGACCTACTTGCATCTTGACTACAACTTCAACTTGAAGCCCGTCAAGACCCTCACTACCAAGGAGCGCAAGAAGTCACGTTTCGGAAACGCTTTCCATCTCATGCGTGAAATTCTGAGGTTAACGAAGCTCATTGTTGATGCTCAAGTCCAGTACCGTCTAGGCAACATCGACGCCTTCCAACTCGCCGATGGTATCCTTTACGCATTCAATCACGTCGGTCAGCTGACTGGTATGTACCGTTACAAGTACAAGCTGATGCACCAGATTCGTTCCTGCAAAGATCTGAAGCATTTGATTTACTACCGATTCAACTCTGGCCCTGTCGGTAAGGGTCCTGGATGTGGTTTCTGGGCTCCTGCTTGGAGAGTTTGGCTATTCTTCATGCGCGGTATCATTCCTCTGCTGGAGCGCTGGCTCGGAAACCTGCTCTCTCGTCAATTTGAGGGCAGACACAGCAAGGGTGTTGCAAAGACCGTCACCAAGCAACGTGTTGAGTCGCATTTCGACTTGGAGCTCCGCGCTGCTGTCATGAGTGATCTCATGGACATGATGCCCGAGGGCATCAAGCAAAACAAGGTCAACACTGTTCTGCAACATTTGTCAGAGGCATGGCGTTGCTGGAAGAGTAACATCCCTTGGAAGGTACCAGGCCTGCCAGCCCCCATCGAGAACATCATCTTGCGCTACGTCAAGAGCAAGGCAGATTGGTGGATCTCGGTTGCACACTACAACCGTGAGCGTATTCGACGAGGTGCCACTGTTGACAAGACTGTGGCCAAGAAGAACCTGGGTCGATTGACGCGTCTCTGGCTCAAGGCCGAGCAGGAACGTCAGCACAATTACATGAAGGACGGTCCTTACGTCTCTTCAGAAGAAGCTGTCGCCATATATACGACCATGGTGCACTGGCTTGAGGCTCGCAAGTTCCAGCCAATTCCCTTCCCAAGTGTCTCTTACAAGCACGACACGAAGATTCTCATCCTGGCCCTAGAGCGTCTCAGGGAAGCGTACTCCGTCAAGGGCCGACTCAACCAGAGCCAGCGTGAAGAGTTGGCTCTTATTGAGCAGGCTTACGATTCTCCGGGCACTACTCTTGCGCGCATCAAGCGCTTCTTACTCACACAGCGTGCTTTCAAGGAAGTGGGTATCGATATGAACGATAATTACAGCAACATCAACCCTGTGTACGATATTGAACCCATGGAGAAGATCACCGACGCCTATCTCGACCAATACCTATGGTACCAGGCTGATCAGCGGCATCTGTTCCCGGCCTGGATCAAGCCTTCCGACTCTGAAGTCCCGCCTCTTCTGACCTACAAGTGGGCCCAGGGAATTAACAACCTTGACAAGGTCTGGGAGAGCCAAGACGGAGAGTGCAACGTCATGATCGAGACCCAGCTGTCGAAGGTCTATGAGAAGATTGATCTCACCATGCTGAACCGTTTGTTGCGACTCATCATGGACCACAACTTGGCCGATTACATCACAGCGAAGAACAACGTGCAACTCAACTACAAGGACATGAACCACGTCAACGCGTACGGTATGATCCGTGGTTTGCAATTCTCTGGTTTCGTCTTCCAGTTCTATGGTCTCGTACTGGATATCCTCCTTCTAGGCTTGCAGCGTGCGAACGAGATTGCCGGTGCACCAGAGAGCCCCAACGACTTCTTGCAATTCAAGGACAAGGAGACTGAGGTCCGCCACCCGATCCGACTGTACACCAGGTACATTGACCGCATCTGGGTTTTCTTCAGGTTCACTGCTGAGGAGTCTCGCGATCTGATTCAACGTTTCCTCACTGAGAACCCAGATCCCAACTTCGAGAACGTCATTGGATATAAGAACAAGAAGTGCTGGCCGCGTGACTCTAGGATGCGACTGATGCGACACGATGTCAACCTTGGTCGCGCAGTCTTCTGGGATCTCAAGAACCGCCTACCCCGATCGGTCACTACGATCGAGTGGGACGACACCTTCGCTAGTGTCTACAGTCGCGACAACCCTAACTTGCTGTTCTCCATGAACGGTTTCGAAGTCCGTATCCTGCCCAAGATCCGCAACTTGACTGGCGAATTCCCTGTTAAGGACAGCGTGTGGTCTCTCGTCGACAACTCCACCAAGGAGCGTACCGCGGATGCCTTCTTGCAGGTGACCGAAGAAGATATTCAGAAGTTCAACAACCGCATTCGACAAATTCTGATGTCTTCTGGATCTACTACATTCACGAAGATTGCGAACAAGTGGAACACGACTCTCATTGCGCTCTTCACCTACTATCGTGAGGCTGCGGTGTCCACCGTCAACCTACTCGATACGATTGTGAAGTGCGAGACCAAGATTCAGACACGTGTGAAGATTGGTCTAAACTCCAAGATGCCTTCGCGTTTCCCTCCTGCTGTGTTCTACACGCCCAAGGAACTTGGTGGTCTGGGTATGATTTCTGGATCTCACATTCTTATCCCAACCAGCGATAAGAGATGGTCAAAGCAGACCGACACTGGTGTCACGCATTACCGTGCAGGTATGGAATTACCCCGTATAAAATGGTCCGAAACTTATGCTAACTTGATAGGTATGTCGCACGATGAGGAGACTCTGATCCCTAACATCTTCCGATACATCATCCCATGGGAGTCTGAGTTCGTCGACTCCCAACGTGTCTGGATGGAATACTCCCAGAAGCGTCAAGAGGCACAGCAACAGAACCGCCGACTAACCCTTGAGGATCTGGAGGACAGCTGGGACCGTGGTCTCCCTCGTATTAACACCCTATTCCAGAAGGACCGCAGTACCCTCAGTTTCGACAAGGGTTTCCGCGCACGGACCGAGTTCAAGATTTACCAACACATGAAGAGCAACCCCTTCTGGTGGACCAGCCAACGCCACGACGGTAAATTATGGAATCTTAACGCGTACAGAACAGATGTAATCCAGGCGTTGGGTGGTGTAGAGACCATCCTGGAGCATACTTTGTTCAAGGCAACGGCCTTCCCGTCGTGGGAGGGTCTCTTCTGGGAAAAAGCATCAGGTACGTTTTTCCGTGTACTGAGTACAGTCTCGGTATTCTTTTACTCCACTCTCTACACTTTCTGCCACCATCGTATTCCCCAACTCGCTTTTTTGCCTACCCTTTAAACGTCGTGCCACCGTCGTACACCCCAACACCCTCTATGCCCTAGCCTTCTATCAGAACACGATCACGTGTCGGTTGCAAGCCTTGGCTTCAGCCTGACCCTCGATATTGGTTCGCAGCAAAAGCTCGATCGTCCCAACCAGAATACACTCTCATCACGTGCTGCTGCTGGTGCCTGGGGGGATAGGGGATGTAAAATCTCGCATGCGCGCCCTCGATTCTTCCTCCCTTCCCTCGCAACCACTCCGAACGCCTTATGCTTCTGTGCATAGAATGCTAACTTTCGTACAGGTTTTGAGGAGTCTATGAAATTCAAGAAGCTCACCAACGCCCAACGTTCCGGTCTTAACCAGATTCCTAACCGTCGCTTCACACTGTGGTGGTCACCTACCATCAACCGAGCCAACGTGTACGTTGGTTTCCAGGTCCAACTCGATCTCACTGGTATCTTCTTGCACGGCAAGATCCCCACCCTCAAAATTTCGCTCATCCAGATTTTCCGTGCCCATTTGTGGCAGAAGATCCATGAGTCCGTCGTCATGGACTTATGCCAGGTCTTCGACCAAGAGCTCGAGGCTCTCGGTATCGAGACGGTTCAGAAGGAGACTATCCATCCGCGAAAGTCGTACAAGATGAACAGTTCTTGTGCTGATATTCTCCTCTTCGCCAGCCACAAGTGGAGCGTATCACCACCGTCTATGCTTTACGACACCAAGGACACCATGAGCGCCACTACGACAAACAAATTCTGGATTGACGTTCAACTGCGATACGGTGACTACGATTCTCACGACATTGAGCGTTACGTCCGCGCCAAGTACCTCGACTACACTCAGGACAGTATGAGCATCTACCCGTCCGCTACTGGTCTCATGATCGGTATCGACCTGGCTTACAACTTGTACTCTGCATACGGACAATACTTCCCTGGTCTTAAGCAACTCGTTCAACAGGCCATGGCAAAGGTCATGAAGGCTAACCCTGCGCTCTATGTCCTCCGCGAGCGTATCAGGAAGGGTCTTCAGCTGTACGCATCTGAGAGTTCTCAAGAGTTCCTCAACTCACAGAACTACTCTGAGCTGTTCAGCAACCAGATCCAGCTGTTCATCGACGATACCAATGTCTACCGTGTGACAATCCACAAGACCTTCGAGGGTAACTTGACGACCAAGCCTATCAACGGTGCTATCTTCATCTTCAACCCTCGTACTGGACAACTGTTCTTGAAGATTATCCATACTAGTGTTTGGGCTGGTCAGAAGCGTCTTGGTCAACTAGCCAAGTGGAAGACGGCCGAGGAAGTAGCGGCTCTTATCCGGTCTCTGCCTGTGGAAGAGCAGCCGAAGCAGCTCATCGTCACTCGTAAGGGTCTGCTTGACCCTCTTGAGGTGCACTTGCTTGACTTTCCCAACATCTCCATCCGAGCTTCGGAACTGCAACTGCCCTTCCAGGCGGCTATGAAGGTCGAGAAGCTCGGTGACATGATCCTACGAGCGACTGGACCTCAGATGGTGCTCTTCAACCTGTACGACGAATGGCTGAAGACCATCTCCTCATACACGGCCTTCTCTCGTCTGATCCTTATCTTGCGTGCCCTGCACGTCAACCAGGACAAGACCAAGCTACTGCTGCGTCCAGACAAGACTGTCATCACACAGGAGCATCACATCTGGCCTTCACTAGCTGACGAAGACTGGATCAAGGTGGAAGTCCAACTTCGAGATCTCATCTTGCTCGACTACGGCAAGAAGAACAATGTCAACACTTCATCGCTCACCAGTAGTGAAGTGCGTGACATTATCCTGGGTATGGAGATCTCAGCTCCTTCGATGCAACGTCAACAGGCTGCCGAGATCGACAAGCAGCAAGAGGAGCAACAGCAATTGACTGCCGTCACGACTAAGACGCAGAACATCCACGGTGAAGAGATGGTTGTTACGACTACATCGCAGTACGAGCAGGCATCCTTCGCCTCCAAGACCGAGTGGCGGACGAGGGCTGTGGCTACTTCCAACTTGCGCACTCGTGCGAACAACATCTACATCAACTCTGAGGATGTCAAGGAGGAGGGTCACTTCACGTACGTCATGCCCAAGAACGTACTGAAGCGCTTCATCACCATCGCCGATCTCCGTGTCCAAGTTGCCGGTTACCTGTACGGAAAGTCGCCAGCGGACAACGACCAAGTCAAGGAGATCAGCACCATCGTCATGATTCCTCAAGTAGGTAACACCCGCGATGTCCAGCTGCCTAAGGAGCTGCCCAACCATGAGTACCTGGACAATCTCGAGCCCCTCGGAATCATCCACACTGTCAGTGGCAACGAGCCGCCATACATGCAAGCCAGCGACGTCACCCAGCACGCTCGTCTCATGAACCAGCACCCTAGCTGGGACAAGAAGACTGTCTCAATGACTGTATCCTTCACCCCTGGTTCTGTTTCCCTCGCTGCATGGGCCCTCACTCCTGACGGCTACAAGTGGGGTGCTCAGAACAAGGACACCATGTCTGACAACCCAACTGGTTTCAGCACCAGCTTCGGTGAGAAGTGCCAGTTGCTACTATCAGACAAGATCCGAGGTTACTTCCTCGTACCAGACAACGGCGTCTGGAACTACAGCTTCATGGGCAGCACATTCGGTACCGTGGAGAAGAGGCCAGTTCATGTGCGTCTCGACACACCTGTACGCTTCTACGACAGTATTCATCGCCCATTGCACTTCCATAACTTTGCCGAGTTGGAGGATGTCTGGGTCGACCGCGAGAACCAGTTTGAGTAGATGGGATGATGTACAACAAAAGGAGGAGTGTATCTGAGTAGGAGTATACCCTCTCACGGCGTTCGTAGGGATTTGGCGTTTTTGCATCATCGCATCATTGATTGCATGGATAGTGGAGAATGGGCGATGATTGAGATTGGGTAGCAAAAACGTGCATAGTGTATTATAATGTTTTCAGCGAAATGCATACTGAATTTACAAACATGTCGGCCATGCCTCTGTGATGACTGCGTTTGATCTACCCGATATTTCCCTCGCTGTACTAACTTCTTCTACCGATGCGCCAGCGTTTTGCTCCTACGCTCTAGCACTTTCAGTTCCAGCAATGGCGATGGTGAGAGGAGAGGGTTGAATATTGTGACTATTCAGCTACTCAGCATTGAAATCCAGCTATTCAAGCACGTGTAGCCCACCTTTACTCTTTTTGTGCTCGAGACTGAATGCCAAATCCCCCTTGTCAGATGCAGACGATGATGTCGAAACTGACGTCATAGGTTTGGTCGCAAGCTTCAGCGGCCGCTTTCCGCTTTCTGTGGGGTGTTCGCGCATCATAGCACTCGAATTCTTGAAGGTCTTGTGCGATGAGAGAGGTTGGGTATAGATTAGATACGAGTGTGTTGTTGTTGATAGGAGATGTGCACCTTTCTGCACGTGGTGCCCCGCATCATCTTAAATCTTCGGTACTTCCTTCCCAACGCAGTCGGCAACAAACGAGTGCTTGCACTTGCTCTCCCAACCTTCGTCCCTCATCTCTGGTAGGCGTACGACGGCTTTGCACCTAGACTCCTCGCAACCATGTCGCAGCCTCTACTCCATCATCCACAACCCACCTGCCTCGCTCTTTCCGGGTGTTGTATGACACACGCTTCATCCCCCACCATCCACCTTCGAAGCGATATGCCTTGATGAAGAAGCTTTCGAAGGACAAGTTTATTGAGACGTCCTCAAGACCTTGGAAAGTGTCCACAATCTCTCGCGCTGTTTCTAGGACCGCAGAGCATTCGTGCAGGAGTGGGCCTGGCCACCTACAACATATCGGGCCAAATTCTACGACAATAGTTCTGTGTTCTTTATTCAGGTTGCTAGGGTCTCTTGTAATCATCTCCAGAAACAAGTTAATGACATTGCGCAAGCGCTGTTGGTTTATCTGTGGGTCCCAATACTCAAATTCGAACTCGATAAAGACGACGAATTTTCTGATGTTTTTGGTGATGGCACAAAAGTTGGTGTTGAAGTGCCCGGTTTGGGGGTGCTTCTCATTGTTGAGCATCTTCCCACAAGTTGCCAACGTGAAGGACTGGTTGCAGAAATGAATGTCCATCGAGAAGGCGTCAATTACCACGAAGAATGGCTTTTGTCTGTAGAGTACCGTGCCAGCTTCGTTGCTGATTTGCTTTGCGGCGAGCATGATGTTTGTGATTCTCCCGCATCCCGTGTCTTCGTCTCGCTGGGCCATCGGCCACCCTGTTCCAATACGCCTGGGGAAGTAATAGCCGATGATCATCTCGCGAAGCTCGAGGGGAAGATCCATAATGCGAAAATTCCAAGGCTGGCCGTGATGCTCGGAGCAGGCTCCTGGTGCCCATTCGTAGTATCTAGGACAGGGTGCTACCTGCGAGGAATTGCTGCATTGCAGTCCAGTACCAGTGAGATATTGACAGCGTTTCGACATTTTGTGATTGGGTAGTGGCGAGATTGGTTTGAAGAAGATACGGTGGTTATCGCTCGTTGAGTGAGGTGATGTCGATGGTGATGAGAGAGTAATCTTTCTTTGAATGTATATGGGAATGAGAAGCATATAGAAAGAGATATTTGCGGGACTTTATGCAAATGGACATCGAAAAAATGAACATGACGCAGTGAAAAATCGAACACGAAACCATGGTTGCGCGCGACCATACCAAGCTCTACCATAGTCCTGGCACGACCCACTATTGGCGAGCCACTCACAAATATCCTGTTTCAAAACAGACCGGCAGACTACACTCAGAGAAAACAAGGGAAGCATAGAATCTGGCATTACAATAGAATCCGGGGTGTTCGATTTCCCTAATCCCAACGCGCCTTTAGTAACCCTTCAACCTCGTCATCATACCATTTCCAACCCACAGGCACTGCGCACCCAAACTCATCCCAACCATGGTTTAGCCTGCTCAAGTCTAAGTCACCTACATCCCAACCTGGCGGTCTCTCGTCATCCTTGAGAGCTTCGATTTGCATCAAACTAATATCTATGTACCGCCTCGGAACGATAAATTGAGCGGGATGGGAACGATCTGTTGGATCAATGAGGTATTCATACTTCAAACATGGGGCTGTGACCACAGATGTCAAAAGCTTGTAATGAGACGGAGTAAAGCGGAGTCTCCCCTGATGATCTTCGATGGGAGGAGGCATGAACACGGGAATGAATCGAAAACTTGCGTGAGTGGTCGTTATATCGGGTTTGGTTGGTTGGCGGATGCCGTCAACGTTCAGCGCTATTTTCCATGTGTGACTATCGCCGATGCGACGATGGCCATAATCTACAAGCGATGTCAATGTCGGTTGATACTCCGAGACTGTACAGTTCTGTGCATCGCGGATATCCAGAGGCTCGGTCGGTAGATCGAGAATACGCTTCTTTGTCTTCAGGATTCGTGCGAGACGGTCTGCTGCGTTTTTCATGAGGAACGAGCGTTGAAGAATGAAGGTCGGATATGGTAGAAGGGAGTATGCGTGTGACCAAGTGATGATGTTGAGGGCTTCGGTTACCGAGGGCTCGAGCAAAGCTGCGCAAAGCGGGGAATCCCAAGTGCTGAGGAGGGTCAAATGAGGGCAATCGCATGACGGATGTACTTTCTCTTTCTGCCCGCAGTTGTGCACATGTTTCTCATAGTGATATAACTGTCATTTGTTAGCCCTATGCGTCTTCTTTAAAGCAGATTCAGCTAGAAAGGGCGTACTTCATCGCACTCTTCGAGTGGTGGCGGGATCTCGGGCCCAACCCATCCATCCTTCTCTAGGTATGCTTGCAATCTTTTAGTCGAAGAACCTCTTCGAACAAACATCATCATTTGCTTTATGCAATGTCTGCGAAGGAAGAAGTAGAGTGCAGTGGTGTTGCTGATGATGGCATCAGTTTCCGCTTGGACGTTGCGAAACTCCACTGGTGAAGCAAAAAACGGTTTCAACGCTTTGTTGATGTTGTATTGGGTTTTTATAGTAGTTTCGTAGACGTGCTTCAGCGTTTTACACACGCGAGACAAGGCTATGATATCCCTGATCTCGAGTTGCTGCAAGATAGACGCTTGAACGGGGGTGCGCCGATCGATAAGGCCTACAAGGTCGAACATGTCTGAGTCAAAGAGTGCGTGCAAGGTGACAAGCAGAAATAATGACCACTATACTACTCGGGAATGAGTGATATAGCCAAAGAGTGCGTGAGTAGTCGGGAAGAAGAAAAGGATGAGCAGAAGAAGAACAAGCGAAGAGAAACGCTATATGCCAGTCTGAGAGTGTGAAGAAAACTTTGACTTGATCTAGAGAGCATGGAAAGAAAAAGACACTGCGTATGCGTCAATGATTGACAAGAACAAGGAATGCAGACACATCTATAACCCATCACTCCCGCTTCAACCACGCCAAATTCACAGCGCTCAAACATCCTTCCTCCCCCTTCTCCAACCACCCCAACAAATTCTCCATTCCCAATCGCTCAAACCCAACGTGACTCTCGACACTCGCGCCCGCCGTATGACTCAACACCATAACATTATTCCTCTGCACCAACCTCTCATTCACATGCGGCTCATTAGCATGAACATCCAGCCCCACCGCCGAAACAATCCCATCGTCCAACGCCCTATTAAGCGCCTCCTCATCCACCAACTTCCCCCTCGCAATATTCACAAGCCTCGCCCCCTTCTTAAACTGCGCAAATTCCTTCGTCGAAAGCAGCGTTTCCCCCGAAAACGGCGTAGCAAGTAACACGCAATCCGACGACGACAGCAACTCCTCCAGGCTCGCACACCACCTCGCCCCAATCTCCTTCTCCCTCGCCTCCATCCTCACAACATCATAATAAGCAATCTTCATATCAAAAGCGCGACTAGCCTTCTCTGCGACGCGCATACCGATGCGACCCAGCCCCACAATACCAAGCGTGCTGCCATTGGGATTGTGCGTCACAGCCGCGATATTCTGATTCGCGTTGCGGAACTGCTCCGGATCGCAAGAGCGCGCTGCGAGGAAAGACCAGGTGATTGCGCGGTAGCAGGACAGGGTTAGTACGATGGCGGCGTCGGCGACGGATTCGGTGCACGCGGAGGCGCTGTTGCAGTATATGGTTCCTGCGTGCGAGGCGAGGTATTGCGTGTTTACCCAGTCGAAGCCTGCGCCGGCTGAGGCGTAGATTTTGCAGGAGGAGGGGAGGAGGTCGCTTGGGGGAGGGTTAGTTTGGGGGGCTTAAGAGGGAAGGGACGGTGGTGGACGTACATGAGTTCTTCATCCCAATTCCCCATTTCGCCGCCTGTGTTCCAGAAGGGTCGGTACATGCCTACGAAGTCGCCCCATTTCTTCTCTTTTAGCGCTTGTTTGAAGTCTTCTCTACCCATTGAGTATGTTCTTATGATGTTGAATTTGTTGTTTAGGTCGGCGTATAGATCGTGGTTCCACCGGATATCATCTCCAAGATGGAGTATCGTTGGCTTTGACGCAGAAGAAGCGTTTGATGTTAAAGGCGAGGTTTTGTATGGCGTTGCAGGCGCAGGCAGACCAGAGTCCTGGGGCGTCGGCGTTGCCGAAGACATGATGTGTTGTTGTATGCGTAAATGCTCAGATGCGATCAATATGCGAGTAGAAACAGTGTGAAAGCTAACGTATATCGACGACCAAAATGGAGAGTAAGTCGTAGCAACCGCCGATTTCGCAGGTCCTCAAGGCTTCTTCCTCGTCTCAGAATCCGCGACCAAGACCCTAAACGTGATGTAAACCCGAGAACCAGATACCCGGGTACACTTGCTTTACTATCGCAGCCTTCTAGATTCCTGTCCCTCGAACCAGCTATCCGCAGCTTCCCAATATTTACTCCGAATTGCAGACGAAGGAAGAACAAGATCCAGAATGTGACAGAGGCAGAGATTAATTCAACAACAGACAATTTCATAAAACGAGTGATGTTGCATCACTTGAGCACGTAACGTGGCGTGCATGAAAGAGGACGTGGGGCAACGCGCCGCTGGCAAGCGGTGAAGATAAGGTTATCGATACCAAGAGCTGCACTACGCAATCAGAGCCTCCACGTGGTATATATATGCGCCTTATCCCTGTCGCATTCTTACGTGTTTACCGACCAGCATCACCGGTGTGTATAAGCTGACATCAGGGTGTTGTACTAAGTTAGCTTCATTCCACCATGTTTTCGAGGATCAAGGAAACGTAGCTGATCGGTGTCATGGTAAAACATACAATTCGAGTACAAGGTATAATCGCAGTGCAGATGTAATTTTAAAACCTCTTGTATTCGCTGTATACAACTGTAGGTCGGTTGCCGGATTGAAATTGATTATATGACAAGATACAATCAAGTCCAATCCGGCAACCAACCTGAGCTGCATACAGCGAATACAAGGTGCTCATGAAATACACGTCTAGCACAAGATACAACAAACCGCCTCTTCGTGCGCTCGCTCATGTAAGACGGAGTAGAGCACTTTCCCCACCAAACGCTCATCTCTACGCCCATCATAGCTTCGTGAAAACATTACTGTTTAAAATACTCCCTCAGAACCAGTTTACCAAAGCCGTACTAGCCGGATTCGACGGGTTGCCCCCATGACCATACTGAGTAACCATGTCGTCCCAGAGCGTCCAGTCCATGTCGCCGTTATCCATCATAGCGGCGTCGTCAACCTGCTGCTGCTGATTTTGCCCGTTGCCGCCCATGAATATGCCGTTCAGTGCAGTGTTACTGGTGTTGTCGATGCTGAAATCCATGTTGGTGGATGGAAGCATGCCGTCGCCAAACGTGGGGTAGCCGTTCGCCGCTGTTGGTGGGCGCCCGCCATGTGTGCCGTATGGATGTATTGAAGTGGCGGTGTTGTTCGAGCAAGGAGGTTGCGAAGTCGTGGACGGGGCAGCAAAGTTTGGAAAGTCTACGGTTGTGCCGTCGTAGACTCCACCAGCGCCCATGACGTCGTTGATCACATTGTCGAGGCCGAATTCAAACAAGTCGCCGAATTCTTTCCCAGGACTGCTATTGCTGTGACCTCGTGCGCCGTTTGCGTTTCCATTCGGCAACTGTCGTTGCCCACTCATGCCGTCTCCATTCTGCAGCGGGCTGTTCCGCGATTTGGCTTGCGTAGGGCTGCTTGGCCAACTTCCAAGTTCAGCGCTAGGCATGTCTCCCAACTTCGGTGCAGAAGGTCG